GGGCAGACCCCTCCCCCAAGAGCTCCCAGCAGGGCTGAGATCTGAGATTTTATCCCTCCAGTGTCTGTCTATCTCACACATACGCCTCCCTGCCCACATTCTGTGACCTTCTCCTAACACGTGTACATATGCAGGGGGACGGCACGTGTCACAACCAGAACCTCTTGGCATCACATACACGAGGGCATTGACAAGCTGCTGACACACACATGTGGACAGACATGTGCCCCTGAACCCTTTGTACCCAGGATCCACCCGAGGACATCCCCCACCTGCCAGGGCCCTCCTATGCAGGCTCCATCCCTTCTTCCCTGGACCCCTGGTCACTCTCTCCCACTCTGCCCTCCCCATCCTGGCCTCCTCCCCTTTTTGGCCCTGTCCTGTTTCCAGGCTTCTGCCCACCCACCCACTGGCCACCTGCTCAACTCAGGGCTGTGGGAGGAGTGGGCTGGCTCTTCCTTTTGCCAAAGCTGCTGGGCTGTGGCCACTCACTCCCACAGGACGAGAATGCAGAAACATGCCTTTTTTTAAACAAAAGATTAAAAAGAGAGGAAGTTAGGGCTGCGAGCTTGCTGCCCACACTCTCATTTTTGCTACAGATTCTCCTCTGCGCCCCCTTCCCTGATCCCCAGCACCAGAACTGGCAGGGAGGAGCCTTTCCACTCGTGGATGAAGACCTGAAGCCTCATAGGTAGAAAACGGGCTCCTTGGCCCAGACAATTTCCTTGCCTTGTTCAGTGATCAATGCACCCTGGCACTGTGCCCAGTGTTTTGCATGTGTTGCCTCACTTAATCTCCCCAAAAAACCCAGGACAGAGGTATTATTATTGTCCCCATTTTAAAGGAGGAAACAGAGTTGAAGTGCCAAGTTCAGTATCACACAGCTGGGGGTCAGTCACGATCAGATCACAGGGCTTTGTGAGCGAGCCCCTGCTTTTGAGGGGTCACACTGTCTTGCCTTTGGTGGAATCAGGAGAACAAGGACAGGTGACCTGGAATCTTGTCACACCCTCGGGAGGAATATGCCTGCTCCCTCGAGGCTTCAGTTTCATGTCCTGAGAAAAATGGAGGATCGTAATTGCAACTTTGCAGGGGTTGTTGTGAGGGCCGAGGAGCTTAGTGGTGAAGGTGCATTAGAAGGGAGGATACCTTCTGGGGATGCTCGAATCTGGTGTTCTCTGAATCGGTTTTGATAAACTCCTCCCTCTACATGCGTGTGTGCTCAGTTGTGTCTGGCTCTTTGAAACCCAATGGAGTGCAGCCTGTCAGGCTTCTCTGTCAATGGGATTCATCAGGCAAGAATACTAGAGTGGGTTGCCATTTCCTCCTCCAAGGGATCTTCTCAACCCAGGGATCGAACCTGCGTCTTTGGCATCTCCTGCTTTGGCAGGTGGATTCTTTGCCACAGAGCCACCTGGGTTAGAACCTGGGATTTACACGAAAGCTTGACACTGTGTTGTGAGGAGGAAGTTCAGCAAGTATGACGTCTCTCATTGTATAGACATGGCTCTCGGGTCCTCATTTCCTGGGGTAGAGCCTAGGTTCGTGGAGCCTGTTAAGCCTCTGCACAGAGCCCCATGCATGTGCTAGATGCCGGTGAATGAGACAAACCCTCCTTTCCTGCCTCTCTGCTCCCTGGAATCCTCAGAATCTTTCCCAGAAGGGGCCATTGGAAACACGCTCTCTCCTCTGGGGCTTCTGAGAATCATGGCCTCCCGTTGGGCAGGAAGTCTGAGTAGGGTGGGCATCTTCCTCAAGTACCTGGTCCTGTTTCTGACCCCCCAGACTGAAGCCCTCTCCCTTAAGTTCAGTCCCTCTCACTTAAATCTACCTCCTGTTCCTATAGTAACATTTCTGGAGGCCCTGTTGGTCCTTAGGAACTCTGTCTAGAGGATGGATGAGCAGCCGTGGTCCTGGGCTAGGTGGGGAGGTGTGGCGTGCTATGTCACAGGAGGGTGCGTCTCAGGGAGGGAGACCCTCTGGGCTGGTCCCTCCACGTGGAGGACAGGCAGAGCCACCCAGCCGGACTGTGGTCCGTAGCTGTGCCCGTGAGTTCTGGCCTTCCCCGGCTTTCCTACAAGGTCGTATTTCCTGGCCTCTAGCCCACCTTCCAGATCTTTCTTCCTCATCCTTCTCCACAGTTTCCCACCCATTCCCTTCATGCTGCTCAGACACGAAGCCAGTGACAGAACACCCTGGGGCCTGTGAGAACAGGCACCTCTGCCAGCCTTCAGGCTTCCTCAGTGCCTGCCAGCGTCCGCCCCTGCTCCCATCAGCTGCATCTGTGTAGCTGGAACCTGCCTGTGTACTTAGGAGAGGGAATCAAAGTTTGGAAGATATGGTGGGGCATGGCCATGTCAGGAACCTGGATGTGCAGGCCCGCAAGCGGCAGGCTCACTGGGTGGAGAAGCCCAAAATCTGGGGCTGTAAATATCTGAGTTCAAAACACAGCACCGCCTGTAGCTAGCTGTGTGACCTTGGGCCATCTCCCCTGAGCTTGGGCTCCGCCTCAGACTTAAGGAATCAGAATCTGCCTTTTAACAAGATGTCTGGGTAATTCATATGCACATTAAAACTGAAGAAGGCTGCATGGGAGACTTGTTTCTTGCCATTAGCCTGTGGTTAGTGTGGTAATAGAGCTTGGGCAGTGTCTGGCCCCTTAGAGGCCTCCTTTGTGATGTGAAGGAGTTGTGCCAGATGATGTTTGTAGTAAAATGTATAACATGGCACCTGGATGCCAGATCTAGTCCTCAAACTGGTTTTGTTTGGCAAAATATTACATTTAAATTTGTTTTGATTTATTTATTTTTAATTGGAGGGTAATTGCTTTACAGTATTGTGTTGGCTTCTGCCATCTATCAACATGAATCAGGCCACAGGTATACCTATGTCCCCTCCATCTTGAACTTCCCACCCCATTCCACCCCTCTAGGTTGTCACAGAGCATTAGACTTGGAAATTTCCTGCATGACACAGGGAGCTAAATTTTTGTAATAAGATACCAGTATTTAATGGAGAAGGCAATGGCAACCCACTCCAGTACTCTGGCCTGGAAAATCCCATGAATGGAGGAGGCTGGTAGGCTGCAGTCCATGGGGTTGCTAGGAGTTGGACACGACTGAGTGACTTCACTTTCACTTTTCACTTTCATGCATTGGAGAAGGAAATGGCAACCCACTCCAGTACTCTTGCCTGGCAAATTCCAGGGACAGGGGAGCCTGGTGGGCTTCCGTCTATGGGGACGCACAGAGTTGGACACGACTGAAGCGACTTAGCAGCAGCAGCAGCAGCAACCAGTATTTAAAATTTGGGAAATGTCACTAAAATATCCAGAATTCTGGTTTTTCTTGAAAAATCAAATAACATGGAAAATGGGCCACGTTCCACATGGCAACAATGTCTCCTATGAGCCTTGAAACCCACAGCCCTTGCTTCAAGTTCTTCCAGCCACAAATATTTTGAAGATAAAAACCCAGGAACCTCTAAAAACACATGAAAAAAATGTTCAGCTTCACTCTTGATATAAGAATTCCAAATTAAATCTACATTGAGTCACCGTGCTCCATGTCTCACTAGTAAAGATATAAAAGTTTGATCACATGTTGTATTGGCAAAGGCAGAAAGAAATGGTCCCCTTACATATTAGCATGAAAGTTGGTACATCTCTAAGATGGATCGTTTCTCGTTATCTTTCAGAAGTACCCAACAACACCTTTGTATTTTGTCACTAAGTCATGTCTGACTCTTTTTCAACCCTATGGACTGTAGCCTGCCAGGCTCCTGTCCATGGGATTTCCCAGGCAAGAATACTGGAGTGGCTTGCCATTTCCTTCTCGAGGGGAAAACAACACCTACCCTTGACCAAATAATACCTGTTCTAGAAGTTTATTTGCAGACACTTGTACACATAAAAAGTGAAAGTGAAGTCGTTCAGTCGTGTCCAACTCTTTGCAACCCCATGGACTGTAGCCTACCACTCTCCTCCATCCATGGGATTTTCCAGGCAAGAGTACTGGAGTGGGTTGCCACTTCCTTCTCCAGGGGACCTTCCCAACTCAGGGATCGAACCTGGGTCTCCCACATTGTAGGCAGACGCTTTACCATCTGAGCCACCAGGGAAGTCATGGGAAATGTAATTCTAAGACACACATGTGAGGTTAGGCATTGCGGCACTGTTTGCCATAGCCATAGACTGCAGCTATAGATTGGGACTAACCTAATTGCCTGTCGATAGGGGACTGGCTAGGTAAATTATAGGACAGCCACCTGATTAAATGAGAACTCTTTATGTGATAATATAGAAGGAGGATCTCTGAAAAAATTTCTGAAGAAGAGGGTACAGAGCAGCATGCAGGGTCCAGTATTTGCATGGGGAGTGGGGGAAGGTATCTATGGAAAGATGCTCTGGTAACACTGGCCACCTCTGGGCAGGGGACCTTGGAGTCTGGGCTATAGGGATGGGAAGGAGTCACTTAACTATCCACACTTTTGTATCTTTCGAACTTTGAACCATGTCAATGTGTTAACTACACAAAGAATAAAAAGCTGAAAACTTCTAGGGACCTGCTGCTGCTGCTGCTGCTAAGTCACTACAGTCGTGTCCGACTCTGTGCAACCCCATAGACCGCAGCCCACCAGGCTCCTCCGTCCCTGGGATTCTCCAGGCAAGAACACTGGAGTGGATTCACTTTCCGGGGACCTAGATTCTGTGATTCTAACAGTGCATGATTTTAGTGCTTTAGAATTTGTCGAGCCTAACTTAATATGGCTGGACAAAGCTCATCTCTCACGAGGCCAAGCTCCTAACGATGTACTATCAGTGGTTCCCATGGGTCTCCAGGCCTGCTCTGTCTCCGAGGTGTGCCACCAGCAGCCCCTAGGAGCTCGAGCAGCCCTGAGGGAAGGCTCCCTCCCAGCACAGAGCAGCTGCGTGAACTGTGGGGTCTCCTGGGAATGCAGCCCTGGGGCTCTCGCTCACCCTCTTTGCTTCTCTGTCCTAGGGGAGCATTCTCAGTGGTGCGCAGGTGTGTGAAGGTGCTAGCCGGCCAGGAATATGCTGCCAAGATTATCAACACGAAGAAGCTCTCGGCCAGAGGTAGGTGCCAGATCCATGTCTGGCCCGCCCTCCGGGGCTCTCCTCCCTTCATCCCTCCCTCTATCCCTTGGGTTAGAACTGGGGCCTGGGTCTCTCCTGGGTGATGTTGCTGTCAGAGCTGGGGGCTCTTCTTCCTGTGGGTACTATGAGAATAGATTTCTCCATGTTTCTTCCTTAGGGGGTCTAGATTGGATGCCATAGCCTCTCACAGGCCAGGCTCTCTGCCCCTCATCCCCCAACCCAGGTAAAGATTAAGCTGCCAGTAGGCCTTTCTTCCCCTGCTTTTCTGCCATTCACCTCCATTCTCACTGCCAGACCTCTGCACCTACCTCTCTCTCTGCCTGGATGCTCTTACCTGGCTCCTTACAATACTGGCTCTTTGTCAGCCTTCAGGTCTCAGTTCAATGTCACACCCTTTGAGAGACTTCCCTGACCCCCAGATCTGAGGGTGACCTCCCCATTTTATGTCTCTTGTTACTGTTTACTATCTTTGTAGCTTTCTTCCAATGTGGAGTTATCCCATTTACTGGTTTCGTACCGTGTTTAATGTTCATCTTCTTTTATGACCATGAGCACCAAGAAGGGGGGATGGGTCTCATTCCTGTATGTGCCTAGCACGCGGGTCAGTACCGGACATATCTGGGTGCTCAGTCAGCGTCCCATGAACACCAGCTGCACTATGCCTTGACCGCGCCAGTCTACTTCTGGTTCCTAAATACTCCCTTGGACAGTGGCTTCTCAGCCTGGAATCCCCTGGAGAGCTTCAGACATTCCTCATGCCTGGATCCCACATCCCAAGGTTGTAATTTAATTAGCTGGGGCTGTGACTTGGGTTTTTGGAAATGATCCCCAGGTAATTCTAATTTGGATGTGGTTCTACACCCGCAGCACCAGCATCATTAGGAGATTGTTAAGAATGCAGAGTCATAATTCCAGATGTAATGGATCAGAATCTGCATTTTGACAAGACACCAGTAATTTGTATGGACTTTAAACTTTGGAGTACCTGCTCCGAAGCTATGTCCTTGCCCTTAGCATGTGGTTAGGGTGGTGATGGTGGTGACCACAGCCAGCATGTTGGGGGAGATTGTCTTCAAAGATGTCCACTCTGAACAGTGGGTCTGAGCTGCCTTAGGGACCCCCAAGGTGTGGGGGGCATTCTGGTGGGTGAGGCAGGTACAGGAGGGGGCTGTGCAACCATGGCTTGCGCAGCCTGGAAGGGGGTTGGCAGAGTGTCCAGGTGTCTGTCTGGCATAGCGGCAGCCGTCTGGGCCAGGGCCCAGCAGGTGTGGGTTTCACAGGGGCCGGGCAGGATGTTCACATCGGCCCCCGCGGGCCTCCCAGAAGGCTCTGTGTGCACCACGTGCTGCTGCCTTTCATGTCTCTGGCTCAGCGTCGCTGGGAGCCCGGCACTTTCTAGTTACCGAACTACCCCGCAGACAGATCAGCATCCTGCAGGGAAAAGAGGCTGGGGTGGCGGCAGTCCTCTGAAGACCGGGGCCTGCCATGGCACACAGCCTGTGTGAATGCTCGTGTGGAAGGGCGAGCCCTGCGGAAGGTCCAGGGCCAGAGCCTGGGGCGGGGAGCCAGGGCAGGCAGGAGGGCCAGCAGGAGCACCGCCTCACACCCGGATGCCAGGGCTCGCCTGGCCGTTGCTGTGTGACTAGTGGCTGTCTGGTGCCCGCTCTGTGCTTTATATCACAGTTGGTCAAGGGAGATGTCCCAATCCCTGAGATACAGCAGGGGCAGGGCTAGAGCCATGGCTTGGGGTGACAGGTTGGGTTGCCCCTGATCCCCCACTGCAGTGAAGGAGAATCAGGAACCAGGGTCCTCCTGGGATGCTGGGGAATCTTGGGTCCGTTCACCACAGTCTCAGAGTCACATCCACACATGCACGAGACAGAAAGAAACATGTGTGGGGGAATGCAAGGAGCATCGCCTCTTTTCTGTAAGGTAACTAAGGATTTGGGGGAGTGTAGACTCTGGTCTGTGCGGTAACTGACAAGCCCCCCTCTCTGGTGATTTGAGAAAGCTCTGACCTCCTGGGAGGAAGGTGCCCAGGCCTAGGTAAGTGTGAGGGGCTTGGGGGGAGGGTCTCAGAACCTTCCCAAAGAAGTCTGCTGACTGAGATGCTTTTCTCCCTGCACGTGGGGAGGGGCAGAGCTTCCTTTAGCAGGTTTCTTTGTTCATCCCTCCTGCGGCCTGTGGTGGGGAGTGTTTTAATGCTGGATGTTTGGCAAGACACTCCAAGCTTCTCCTGCTGGCACTCCTGGGTGACTCTGGCAGTTCCCAGCAGGGGGCCAAGCTCCCCGGGGTGTCCTCCACCCCCCACCCCGGGAGCTATGGTTTCCCCTTTCCCATGGGGCCAGCCTCTTTTATTGAGTGGCTCCCAAACCCGGCAGATGATTTTTGTGTGTATTTTTAAACTACTCTTTTTATATAAAATGCTCGTACTATAAACAATTCCAAAAAGCCATAAAGAAATGAAATGAAAGGTAAAAATATTTTCCTGTCCCAATCCCTGCCAAATCCCCCTGGGAGCCTTTTGAAAGCTACAGCTGCCCCAGTTCCACCCCTGAGAGTAGGGGATTCAATAGGTGAGGCCCCAGTTCCTGCCTTTAGAAAGTCCTGTCAGCAGTGACAACAGCCAGTAGACGCTCAGGGCTAACTCCCTGCCAGGGGCTCTGGAAGCTTCCTAGCCACAGCCTCACCAGGCAGACCAGCAGAAAGAATTCATCAACATTCTAGGGGATGGTGGGCACATGGACCTGGCTAGTGCTGCCAGAGTTGACTGGCCCCCATCCAGCAACCTCCACAAGCCTCACTGTCCACCTGGGCGCTGAGGGGTCACTTCCTCGGCTCCCTAATGACCAGTCCCAGGACACCAGGTGGGAAGCATGGTATGAGCTCATTCAGCTATCCCTGAGCTTTAGATTTATGCAAGGGAGCTTGCAAGGAGGCAGTGAGACCCAGCTTTCTTGTCTTTCTCATCTACTTCCCCACCCCTTCCCCCTTCTTGGTCCTCCAGATTATTTCTCCAACTGCCCAGGATCTGGAGGCTTTTTGAAGTCCTGTGGAGGGAGGGGACATTTCCTGTTCTGAGACTAGAGGTCTATTTTCTGCCCTGGCTCCTGTGCCTCTAGCCAGAACCCCGCTGCCCACATACCTGCTGGAGCCCACTCACTCTGCTGGCAGAGCCCTCAGGCTTCCCCAGGTTCTGCTCTGCCCCATCATGCCCTGCTGGTCCTGTCTGGCCCCAGGAACCTCTCCCTCTCCCCAGAGTTTCCACCCACCCATTGCCTGCCGAGCTCTGGGCAGAGCTGGCCCCCTTAATCCCAACACCCTGGAAGTCTGCCCCCAGGGAGGGAGGGAGAAAATTCACAAAGCATCTATCACAATGAGTATTGGGAGCAAGGCTTCCTGGTGCCCAAGCAGGAGGCTGCAGACTAGCTTCTCTCAGATCTCTCACCATCATGGGATTTCACTGAACTGGATGGATTGATTTCTCAATTATGAAAATGGGAGGCAATACAGTACAGTAATTATGAACACAGTTTGAAATCCCAGCTCTGCTACTTCTTGGGTATGGGAAAAGCTGCTTATGACTCTGGGTCCTGGGAACATGGCAGAGACCAACACTCAAGGTCTTGCTGTCATTGCACCTGTTTTCTAGGGAGGGAGACTGAAAAGAGCATTAAACACACAAGTAAGCTGGGTATTTTCAAGTAGTGATGAGTGTTAACAAAGAAAATAAGACAGGGTGATGGGGGTGTGATGGGGCTGGAGGAAAAGGCAGCTGGGGAAGCTAAAGAGGTGACATGGTGCTGGGACCTGCTTGAGGAGAAGGAGGCAGCCATGAGAAGACCCAGGAGAAGAGTATTTCAGGCAGAGGGCACAGCAGGTGCAAAGGCCCTGAGGTGGGAAGGGGTTTGCAGTGCCTGAGGCCACAAAGGAGGCTAGTGTGGGGGGAGCTTCAAGGCCAAGATGAGGCAGAACTCAGCACCCTGCAGGGTCTTTCTGGAAGTTTTTGAGGGGTGTGGGTTGTATTATAAGTACTTCAGGAAGCTGTTGGGAAGTTTGAAAGCAGGATCTCATTTATATTTTAATAAGAAGTCCTTGGGTGCCCTCTTAACTATTGACTGGGGGGCTGGGGGAGCTTTTAAGAGTGGTTCCTCAAAGTTCTGAGTTGTAACAAGGCTTGACCACATTGATGATTACCTTGATTTTATCAAGAGACTGCTTAACAGAGCAAGGCCTCAGAGGTCAAGAGGAACTCAGTCCCTATATTTCTTGAAGTTCCCTGCATATTAGACAATGAAAACATTTCAAACAGAGTTACAAAAATTATTGTATAATGTATATGGTTACATTCAACAAATTAATGTTTTTAGCACTGAAGTTTGCAATGCAGTGTAATTGTACTATGCACAAGATGATTACAAGATTTATAAAAACAGTTCCTAGCATTTCCAGCAGTGACGTCTGGTAACCAGTCACATGTTTAAAGCTGTGTGACCAGAGTTTTCTTCTTTCAATCCTGTTAGTGTAACTCTGCTCCCAGGTGACCTTACATGGAGAAAAACATCAGAATTCTGGATTTAGGTCCTTTGTCCCCTGAGTGTGTAGCCTGAGCTAGGAGTCCCCTCTCCCCCTCTGATAGGTCCCACTTTGAGCTGCCTGGCTTTTGGTTCTGCTGGGGATGCGTGGGTGAGGGGCAGGGTCTGGAGCTGGAGAGGGTTCAGTCATCCTTTGCTTACTGAGGGCTCTTGGCCAGCTCTGGATGGGGATCCCCCTCTTTTGCCTGGGAATCGACCTCCCTTCCCCTCCACCTCCCTACCCTGAAGGATTTGGAAGGAGACAGGGAGGGAGGAGAAGCGAGGATGCCCCCAGCTGGGCCAGCCATCCCCCCCTAGCCTGCAGCTGCCTTCAGCTGGGGAGTGGAGCTTACACTCTACCAAGAGAGGATTGGACTTAATTGCTTTGCTGATGGAAAAGCCACATTTCAGTACTGATCTTGGTTTCTGCAGCCCTTGGAGGACAGCTGGTGATTCCGCTAACGGAGAGGGGAGGGGACAGGAGAGCTGGCAGCCTAGGGACAAGGCTGGGATTTTCTTCCTCCTCATCACCCTCCCTGGTGCCCACCTTCCCTGGAGGGGCCATTCAGAGAGCGGGGTGCTAGTCCCGGCTCCACCTCTGAGTGTCTGTGTGAGTTCCCTCCTGTGGGCCTGAATTTTCCCACTCGGGAATAGGAGGCAGACGGAGATGATAGTGATGAGTCAGGGTATAGAGACCAGGAGAGCACTGGGTTTTGAGTTTTATTTTTATTTATTTATTTTTTGAGGTTTTTTTTTTTGCTGTGCCACGTAGCTTGTAGGATCTCAATTCCCCTACCAGGGGATGAAGCTGAGCCATGGCAGTGAAAGCCTAGAATCCTAACCGCTTGGCCACCGGGGAACTCCCCGACAGGGTTTTACAGCTCACCCGTGGAGCCTGACTACCTGGATACAAAGCGTGGCTCCACCGCTCACCGCAGTGTGACTTTGAGTCAGAAACTTAACCTCTCTGAACCTCTGTTTCCTCCTCTGTAAGGCCAGCACAATGGTAGCGCTATCCTCAGAGGATTATTGGGGGGCTTGAGATGTACATAAAGGGCTCTGCATAATACCTGACACATAGTAGATATTCTGTATTTGTGACTGGCTCCTATTATACTATTGGGTTTTTTTTTTTTTAAGTAAAGCGTTAAATACCAACTTGTGAGAATAGCACCACAAAGGAAATTGAAAAATGTTTAAAACAGGGACAGTGATGTCCATAGCCCGAGCTTGTCAGGAGGACTGAATGGGGTCATGTGTATGATTGTGTTCAGCAGTCTCAGAGTCAGAGATCGTGGGTGCAGATCCTGAACAAGGCCTCTCTCCCAGGTGGGCAGGGAAATCTAGGGGATTTGGACAGAAGTCCCACGAAGCAGGTGGGAGATCTCTGGGTAAGCCCCCATGCTGCCTTGGACAAGTTCTACCCTGCAGATTCTTTGGGGCTCTCTATGTCCTTGGTGCTGACTTCTCTCAAAGGAGGCATCTTCTGTAAATTAATACAACCCTTCTCCTGCAGAGAATACCCACTCCCTTAGAAAGATTCGTTTATTCAATCATTTGTTCTTTCATTTAGTTATTTTTTCTTTTTTTTAAAGGTTTAGCTTTAGTCATCTTTTTATTTATGTATTTTAAAAATTGTATTTATTTATTTACTTTTGGCTGTGCTGGGTCTTCATCGCTTCACGGGCTTTCTCTAGCTTTGGAGAGCAGGGGCTATTCTCTAATTGTGGTGTGAGGGTTTCTCATTGCAGTGGCTTCTCTTATTGCAGAGCATGGGCTCTAGGGCGCTTGGGCTTCATTGGTTGTGGCTCCCAGGCTCCAGAGCACAGACTCAATGGCTGTGGCACAGGGGCTTAGTTGCTCTGAGGCATGTGGGATCTTCCTGCCTCAGGGATCGAACCCGCGTCTCATGCATTGGCAGGCGGATTCTTTACCACTGAGCCACCACGGAAGCCCATTCAGTTATCTCTTGAGCACCTTCCATGGGCCAGGGATTTAGGTAGATGCCAGGGGTACAACAGAGACCAAGTCCTTGCCCTCAAGGACAGTGACATCCCTGAGACAGAGTGGCATGTGCTGTCTAGGGGCCCTGGGAACGCAGAGGAGGAGCCCCCAGCGGCTGGCAGTCAGGGTGGGCTGCCAGAGAGAGTGACATCCAAGGACGGATAGGAGTGAATGATGGCCAGTGAAGAGCAGGTGGGAGGCTGAGAGGGAACTTGCCAAGCTGAGAGAACCACGTGTGCGAAGGTCCCAGAGCGGTAGGGTGTGCCTGGAGAGCTGAGGTTCAGCAGTTCCCCTGGTTGAGGTGCAGTGGGAGGGGCAGGGCGGGGGAAGGCAGTCGGAGCCTGATGTGGGGGTGGGGATGTTCCAGGCTGCCTGGAGTTTGGCTCTGATACAGGCAGGAGATGCCCCTCGGTTAAGAACCCTGAAAACCGAGACCCAGAGCAGGGAAGGAACTTGTGCCTCACTGCAGCCTGGGTCTCCCTTTCTTCCGCTGCATCCCACTGCCTTCTTGGAGAACCCAGAGGCTCTGCCCAGGCGAGCTTGCCCAGGCCCTGGGAGGGAGAGGTCATTAGAGGCTGTGAGGAGGGAGAGATGGGGTGGGTGGAGGTGCCTCCCTTCCCTGGACTCATCTGGGCATCTGTGTGTTTCAGATCACCAGAAGTTGGAGCGTGAAGCCCGCATCTGCCGCCTGCTGAAGCACCCCAACATCGGTGAGCATAGGGGATGGGCGAGGGGTGTGGGTGGGGCCTGGCCCAGCTCCCTTGCCTGCCCTGGTGGGTGTTTGTTGAGGGAAGGGGGCAGCTGCTCTCTTCTTGGGGATGGCAGCAAATAGAGGTGGCAAAGGGGGTGTCTTTCATGGTTTCCATACTCCTCAGCGAGCAGCTTGGTTGGGGGGAAGGTGAAGAAGGGGCCCTTCCTCCCAACCCACGCTACCGGCAGCCTCCTTCAGAAAAGCTGTTTCAGGAAAACTTCCGAAGCTCTGAGAGACGAAAATAGGCCAGGCTTAGCCTTGACCATTGTAGCCCACTCCCCAAGCTTACCCCGATGCTGAGTCAGCCTGGCACCATGGCCCTGCCCACCAGCACGGGCCTGCAGTGCCAGCCTCTGCAGGCCAGCCCCAAGGTGGCCCCTGCCCCAGAGTGGACTGAATGCAAGCTGCATGGGGTGGTTGAGCCCAGGGCTGGCAGGATGGCCCTGAAATAGCGCCTGGCTGCCTGACCTCCCTTCCCCCGTCCCTGCACAGCTGAGGGGCTGTATCACTGCGTGGCAGGGCTCTGAGTCATGATGGGGAGGGAGTGCAGATTCTAGATATAGTTCTGTCAGGGAATGGCTGTGTGACCTTGGGTAGGAGCACTACCCTCTCTGAGCCACTTTCTCCCATCTTCACAAGGAGAGGGCTGTCTGGACCAGCTGGGCATCTTGTTAAAAGGTAGATTCTATAAAAAAAAAAAAAGAAAGGTAGATTCTAGTTGAGTGGGTCCGGATGGGGCCTGAGGGTCTGCATTCCTAACACACTGTGAAGTGATGCCAAAGCTGCTGGCTCACCAGTCACACTTGAGCAGCAAGATCTAGATGCTCTGTAAGGAACATTCCAACTCTGACAGCTACCATGCCTTCTCCCTCAGGAGGGAAGCATCTCTCTGTGTCCAGGGCCCCAACAGTTAACTCCCCTGCAGAAGAGTAGCATCTCCATCTGCTATTTATACCCAGAAGGCACCTCCCCTTCCCCGTGCCTGGGAAAAGGAGCAGAGCTGCACAGACAACAGCTGAAGGCTTGGGGCTAGAGTCGGAGAAGGGGTAGCAAGGCGGCTGGTGGGGAGCCACGCTGGTTGGCCCCTGACCTGCTTATGACCATGGGCATTTCCTGCCCAATCTGGGCTGGCCTCCAGCCCCCCAACTGTACAATGGAGGGAGTCGTGAGTGGTTTCTGACTGTAAAATTCCACGGTTCTTAGAAAGCCCATTAGTCCTGGAAGAAGGAGATGGGGTGTGTGTGTTTGTGCATGCGTGCATGTGCCACTGCACAGTTGCATTTTTCTCCAGTCAACACTTCCTCATCCTTCGGTCGCTCATTCCCAGCTCTAGTAGGGAGCAGTAAGTTATGGGCTCTGGAGCTGACAGACTACAGTCAGATCCTCAGGTTGCTGCTTAATTGCTGTGTAACCCAGGACATGTTGCTTAACTGCTCAGAAGTTCAGTTTTCTCATCTGGAAAATGGGAACGATAGATACCTTGTAGGCTTATGATGATCAGACAAAGCATAGCATAACGACAGGCCCCAGGGAAGTGCTCTGGATCATTAAGCTGCTCCATCTTTTCTCAACCTACACCCTTCAACAGAACAATCTTACCGGAAGACTTACCTTTTGTCTGAATCTTCATGTGATTCTCGTTCCTCTGAGCCATCAAGATTTTGGGTCATTGGCTTGGGGCACTATATGTAATACGCTGGTTAAGAAAATGGAATTTTCAGTCCGACACACCTGGGTTCAAATCCCAGTTCTACCTTTTATTTGGTATCTCAGCTTGGGCAGGCTATGAACTTCTTGTACTTAGTACCCTTCTCTGTGAAACAAGGATAATCATGGTACCCACTTTCTAGAACTGTTGTGAGGGTTAAGTGAGATATTGCAAGTAAAGTACTTAGCACAAGCCTGGCAGGTGGTAGAATCTCAGAAATGGCAGCCATCGTCTTAATCATCATCACTTGAATTATGACTCCTTCATTTATTCACCTAATGTCAAAGACATCCAAGACCCCACCATGTGCCAAGGCCTCTGCTAGTCTCTGAGGACGTGTGGGAGAAATGAGGGTGGGAGAGGAGTGGGGTAGCTGATGGACAGGGAAGTGGAGAACAGAGTTGAGATCCAGAATAGGAAGATGCTTAGAAGAACCTTAAAGCTGTTGTCAAGGATGAAATGGTCCTCGGAGGGTACCAATCTCTGAGCCTCCAAGCACCTCAATTCAAAGTAGTTGTAATCTGTCCAGAAGAGTGCAGAGAGGTCCAGATGTGGCTATAGAACCTGAGAAGTGGGTCTGTGCCCAAAGAAACTAGACTATTCAGCCTGCTTAGTGATCCTAGCCAAGCTCACCGCTCTCTGCTGGTGTGTGGCCACAGCCTCACCTTAAGATACTAAGTCAGGGAGGTCGCTGGCTCAGCAGAGGGGGAACAAGCTGTACCATATACAAAGCATTTCCCTCCTAGATCTTGCTTCGGGGAGGACAGCACTCTGCTCTCTGAACCATTAGCACCTGCTGATGAAGTGGACCCCCCCGCCCACCTTAAAAGCCACCCAAGGAGCAGGAGGAGATAACCTGAGAGTTTAGCAGGTGATATGGGGTGGCCAAGGGAAGTGAGGCTAGTGATGAAGATGGCGATATCTTCATTTACTAAGTTCTTCCTAGCGATAAGCACTGTGTTGAGTGCCTTACTAGCTTCTTGAATTAACTCCTGACACCGGTCCTGTGTAGTGGTATTGGCTCTGCGGCTAGGAAAGGAGGCTCAGAGAGGTTACATTATTTGCCCAAAGCCACACAGCTTCTAAGAGGTGGAGCTGGAAGGCAAAGTCAGAGAGTCTGACTGCAGAGCCCATGTTCTCAGTCCTTCTGTGACCATCAGGAGTGTCTTGTTGGGGGGCAGTGGCCAGAGGAACAAGTATGACCCTTCAATTTCTGAGAAAGAAATGGTAACTGTTGGAAATAGGACAGAATATCAGAAGTTCATGAATCCAGCTACACAAATGAAAACTAGGTTACAGATTCGTTTGTTCTGTGACAGTGACAGCGTAAGTCCGTGAGCACAGACATGCCGGTCTCCCCACCAGGCAGTGGTACTGTCACATAGGCCATAGCCCTTGAATCCTTGCCTCTCTTGGGATCTAGGCTGAGTTTTTCCTCAGGGAGGCCTCCAACCACAGGAAGAGAGGTTTTGTGCATGAAAACAGCACTGAAATGAGGAATCCTGTCTCCTGTGCTCTGAGCCAAGATTTAGCCACCTCTTGGGGACTGAAGCCAACACCAGGATCATCCCGCAGGTGGGGACTGGAATCCAGCCCATATCCCCCTGCTCAGAGGGCCAGCCTTCAACAATCAGCACAAAGGCACCATCAGAGCTAGAGGAAGCTCTGGAGATGCTCTCTTCCATTCTGTCCATTTCTCTGAGCCCTGAGGACCTTCTCTAAAAGAGGCTGAGGCTTCTGGCCGTTGGGAACCCTAGTCTTGGAGCTCCTCCCAAATGGCTGTTGACCTGGTTCTAAAAGCCCTTTCTTGAGATGGTTCTGGATGCAGCTTGGCTTCTCAGAGATTCTCACAATCACAACAAAAGTAGTTAAAACCTCAAACACCCGAGCAGAGTAGAGGAGGAGTTTGCTCCTGAAGAATCTCAAAACTTTACCTTGGTACACTATTAAAGCAAGTTTATAGTAGATAAATGAGAAGACAAATAATTTTAAAGTATCTCCTATAATCTCAGCATCTGGAGCTAACATTGATGATATATACTTCCATGTGGTATTTGATGTCTGTAGCTTCCTAAGGACATCTAAGCATATAAGTTCAGGTTTCCTAGAAGCAGAGCCTGAGGCAAGGATTCAGGTGTGTGTAGGAACATGAGGGCGTGCTCCCAGGGGAGACCTGTAAGGATAGGATGAAGCAGGATGGAGGAAGGGGAAAGGAACCGAGTAGAGGTGTGGCTTCAGGTCAAGTCTAACTCTGACCTGATCCCAGGTGGAGGGTGTAGTGGGGAGGCCTCTGGAACATAAACCCTGTCCTGGAGCTGTCCCTCCTTTAAGGCAGACTGGCCCTTTGCATGGCCTCTGCCTCCCTACATTAGTTCATCATTGCCTGAAGGCTGTAGATAACCTTGTGGGCAAGGTGGGCAGTTCCACCAGCAGTGGGCAGTTCTCCAGAGAAGGAGGGCACCTGTGCATGGTTAGCCAACTCCCCAAGCAGCTGCAGGATGGCTGCACCATCTTCCTACAGGAGGTCTGAGCAGGGCACCAAAATAGGGCTTTCAGATTCTGCACACACAAAATATAAGATGCTCAGTTCAAAACATACATTTCAAAAGTCTATTTTTGCTTTGAAATGCATTTAAAAATGGAAATAGATTGAAGGATAAAGGGATGGATAGAAATATAGTAAGGCATATATAAGAAATGGAGTAGGAAATGACAACCCACTCCAGTTACCTTGCCTGGGAAACCCCACAGACAGAGGACCCCGGCAGGCTACAGTCCATGGAGTCACAATGAGTCAGACACGACTGAGAGACAGAGCATGCACACACATATGAGAAAACACTAATAAGAGAGTCTAGGTGGTATGTACATAGGTATTCACTTGACTGTATTTTGAAATTTTTTATTATAAAATGTTGATTAAAAAATTAAAGCAGGATTAAATTAGACATACTCAGGCTACTTAGTTTTTAGTTTTGCTTTAAAACAGTTTAAAAACATCTTTCAGTCATTATTTATAAATATATACTATTTAAGATTTTAAAAAACATTTTATTTAAATTTGTATCCCTTCATCCTCCATCTCGGGTCCCCATCTGTGTAGGCACCCACTCTCCAAACTTTATGCAGAGAATACTTTGGCCACCTGATGTGAAGAGCTGACTCGTTGGAAAAGACCCTGATGCTGGGAAAGATTGAGGGCAGGAGGAAAAGGGGACAACAGAGGATGAGATGTTTGGATGGCATCACCAACTCGATGGACACGAGTTTGAGCAAACTCTGTGAGATGGTGAAGGACAGAGAAGCCTGGCATGTTGCGGTTCATGGGGTCACAAAGAGTTGGACACGACTGAGCAACTGAACAGCGACATGCGGGCCATATGCTTTAAGGGACTCAATATTGTATGTGGCAGAAATGCAGAAGGCACTAGGGCTTACAGTGAAAAGTCTCACCCGCCCACAACTCCAGCAGTCCTAATTCTCTTCCCCAAGGCCACCTCAGTGCCCACATCGCTGGATCATTCCAGAGAGACCAATGCTATACCCAAGCTGAAATGCATCCTCCTTTTTAGAAAGGACTGTGCATACTGCTTTGCTCTTTTACCAAACAACAAAATTTAGATATGATTCCAAACTAGTGAATAAAGAACTGCTTCATTATTTTAACATTCTCCATTGTGTGATGTACCATAATTCTTTGAGCCCACCCTCCCCCCTGCCCATGGACCTGTTTAGGTTGTGGTACAGGGAAGGACATGAACTTGACCTGGGAGAACTTGCCCTTGGTTGGCAGGGTTCAGGCCCCCTAGAGTCAGCCCCAGGCCTTGGGCTCTCCCTCCTTTTTTTTTTTTTTGAAAGAAGCTTAAGGGGTAATTTTGGAAGCTCTGGGCTCCTGGGAGCTTTGCCTCTGTTCTTGGTAAATGAGGTATGAAAAGATGACAGTTTCTCAGCAGGCCAGAACTCTGGGATTGCTGTCACTCCCTCGTCCACCGGCTCTGTTAGCTCCTCAGACCTGGAAGCAGAGGAGGGCTACTAGCTCAGGGCCAGCACTGAGTCAACATGGATTATGCGCCTCATGGAATTCTCACAACAAGCCTGCAATTCCAGGGGTTTCATTCTCACTGTCCAAGCAATGAAAGTGAAGTCGTGTCCGACTCTTTGTGGCCCCATGGACTGTAGCCCACCAGGCTCCTCTGTCCATGGGATTTTCCGGGCCAGAGTACTGGAGTGGGTGGCCATTTCCTTCTCCAGGGGATCTTTCCAACCCAGGGATTGAACCTGGGTCTCCCGAAATTGCAGGCAGACGCTTTACCATTTGAGCCACCAGGGAAGCCCTCCAGGCAAGGAAAGAGGCTCAGAAAGGTATAGCAACTCGGTCAAAGATGCACAGCTAGCAAGTGGCAGCGATCTGAGTCACAGGCTCTTTCCATGACCCTGAAACTGCCCAGCAGGAAACTTCTCTCCTTAGAGAGGGAAGGGGGCTAAACTCTGACCAAAGCTGCGGTCTTTTGTCTTTACGCTCAGGCTTCTTTGGGTGATGCCTGAGGTCAGTGAGGGCTTCCCTGGTAGCTAAGGCAGTAAAGAATCCACCTGCTAATGCAGGAGATGTGGGTTCAACCCCTGGGTTGGGAAGATCCCCTGGAGTAGGAAATGGCAACCCAGTCCAGTAATCTTGCCTGGAGAATCCCTTGGACAGAAGAACCTGGGGGGCTATAGTCCATGGGGTAGCAAAGAGTCAGATATGACTGAGTGACTAAGTTGACAAAGGTGAGCCTTTGTTCATGCTTTGTCAAAGCACCTGGTAACTGGCTTGAGCTCAGTGACTTTCAGAGAAATTGGAATGTTGGCTATTTGATGGGTGAGAGGGGGGTGAGTGGGGAGCCCTGTGTCCTGCATAACCAGCTACCTTGGCCCCTCCTGCAGTCCGGCTCCATGACAGCATCTCTGAGGAGGGACACCATTACCTGATCTTTGACCTGTAAGTTTGGCCTCATCCTGGGGTGTCCAGTGGGGATGGGGCAGCCCTGGCAGGGATGACTTCACTGGGTCCCTTGGTTTGAAGTGTCCCCATAGCCCCCAGATTGGGCTGAATTCTCTCTTCTGATAGAGTTTGCCAAAATGTGGTAGGCCTGCCACCCAAGCAGTGCAGGCTGGTTTTCCTGACACACCAACAAACACTTTTAACTTTCATCATCATATATTTAGTTTTGCTTCTATTTGTGGCCAGTGATGCTGGTTTTCCATTTCTAGTGGTGCTATGAAGTTTCCTTTCAGAATAAATTTAAAGTTTTAAAGACAGGCAATTGAATGAAAAGCAATCACCAACTAAGAAGCCTCAGTGGTTTTTGGCCTCATCTGTAAAGAACAGCATTTGAGACAATGGGGGAGGCTGTGCATGGCTGGGGTCGGGGAGTGGGCGGGGGGGCAGTGGGGCTATTGGAAATCTCTGTACCTTCAGCTCAATTTTGATGGGAACCTAGAGCTACTCTTTAAAAAAGACTATTAAAAAAAAAACAACAACAAAAAGCTCCAGCCCTTGGATTTCCAAGAGCCTGATGAATCACAGTGACATGTTCTGAGTGTCCCACCCCCAGTCCTGACCTCAGCCTGGCTCTGGTGGAGGAGAAGGCCGAGGATGGAGGGGAGGGTGGACTGGAAGTCAGGAAGGGGGTTATATCAGGGGGCATCCCCGTGGCCTCTGGGGCCCCTCCCTTTGGGGCTGAGGTTCTGAGGTCCCTGCGCCCCATCCTTAGCTTCCTGGAGACGCGGCACCTGGGGCCTCTGTGGGAGGGTGACTCTCTGCCTGTCTCCCCAGCGTCACCGGCGGGGAGCTGTTTGAAGACATCGTGGCCCGGGAGTATTACAGTGAGGCGGATGCCAGGTGAGTGAGAGGTGTAGCCCGGCCGCGGCGCCTGGGGGCGGGGCACGCCCTCCTGGGGCCTCCAGGGGGAGGCCCGCCCTCAGCCCCGCCCCTTCCTCTCTCCCCCCAGTCACTGCATCCAGCAGATCCTGGAGGCCGTGCTGCACTGCCACCAGATGGGGGTGGTGCACCGGGACCTGAAGGTGAGTGACCCCCACCCCCCACCCCGCCTCCCACCCCCCACCCCGCCTCCCACCCCAGAGGCCGGCTCACCCGGAGTCTGCGCATTTGCGCCCAGCCCCTCCCTCAACCTGCGGAGCCAGTGCTGTTCTCATAGCCCCGTTAGCGTTCCTGAGTTGGGCTGCGTGGGAAAAATTTCCCCACTCTTCAGATGAGGAAACTGAACTCAGGGAAGCAGAGCATCTGGACTCGGGACCCAGGTCTGCCGACTCCCAGCCTCAGGTGATTTGTCCCAGGCCAGGTGAGAGGCGGCTAGACTGCCAAGGCTGGCTCTGGTGGGGTCCAGATTCCAGCGAGGCCACCTTCTAGTTGCATGGCTTCAGCCTCATTATAGTGGGGGTTGCCATAGCAACCTCGGTACAGGGTCAGTGAGGATGTCAAAGGAGGCAGGACAGTGCCTGGAACGTAGAGGTGTTGTTAATCTTGCTTCCGGTCTCCGGAAGGGAGTGATGGGTAGGAAAGCAGGCTTTGAGGCCTTCCGAGTCTTCCCTCTTCCCGCTTGAAGAGATGAGCAGGACTAAGTAGATGCAGGGTGTAGGCTTGGCCCTGGCTGCACAGCCTGGCCCAGTCAGCACAACCGCATGCTGCTCCTCGGCTGGGCCTCACAGCATCAGTGACTGGGAGCTGCCTAACATCATCTCCATTTTGCAGAGCGGGAAACGAAGGCCCAAAGAGTCCAAGGGATTTTCCTGAGAACATGCAGTTCAGCCTGAGCTAGGGCTGGAGCCCTGGCCTCCTGACCTCAGGTCCCCTGCCCTCACTGGACCAGGGTTAAAAAGCCACTGACTGCACCTCCTGCTTTTGTAGCAGCCCCTTCTAGGTGACCCTGCTGGGTGTCCATCAACCCTCTGCTTTTTGACTCTCGGTGACTATGAACTCACTTTTTATGGGGTAGCCCCTTGAACTGTTAGGAAATGTTCCTCCAGTTTTTCCCCATTGTGGGGGCTTCACCTGTGACCTCCAGTTCTACCCTTTGGGGCCACACAGAGGTCAAGTTCCCAGCTCAGAGCAGCCCTGAAGGCACATGGGTGGCTTTGCAGTAGCTCCTGAGGCTTCTGCAGGATGTTCTCCATTCCCCCCAGGATGGAATGTCCAAGCCTTCCTCATCCTGGCCCCCTCCCCGGCCATCCTCCTGTCAGTTCAGATCCCTCTTTGGGGTGCAGTGCTCTGACCAGAACCCCTGCTCACCCCTGACAGTCACGAGCCATCTGTGGCTCTGCACCTGAGCCCAGGTGAGCTCGCCGTGTCTCAGTCTAGACCCACAGGCAAGTGTGCATGCAAAGAGGGTCTCTGGCCAGATTGCAGGGCAGCTCTCCCCAGGGGCCTGTTCCCATTATAACCACAGCCCCTGACCGAGAGGAGGAACAGGGAGAGAGGCAGCACAAATTTAGGCCACTCTGGGTAGATTAATTAGTGGTGCATTCATCAAATCAGGGCAGAACAGCTACCAAGACCCAGGGCATGCTGGGAACACAGTCCCCAGAGGACCAAAGAGGCCTTAACCAGGGGCAGATGGAGCTATACTTGTTTGCATCCTGCCTAGCTTTGGGCAGTGAAAGGTCGGATGTGGAACCCCTCCTAAGTTCTAGTGAGAAAGCGGGTCAGAGGAAACCAGCTATCTGAAGAGATGGGGGGAGCCCACACCCTGCATCTACAAACAAAAAGTATGAATACTGATGCCTATCAAACACTTGTAGGACACTGGGAAGTGCTTTATAGGGATTTATTGCAATTAATCCATATGCCACCCCATGAAGTAGGCATTATTCCCACTTTTGGAGAAGAAACTGAGGCCAGAGAAGTAAAATGAATTTACCCAAGTTCCATAGCGTAGAATGGCAGCACTGGGATCAGAAGCTAGGGCTTTCTAACTGGAAAGTCCCCACTCTTACTACCTCTCTGTCCTGAGGAGAAGGATTTTCTGTCCTCAGACTCAGCAGAAGATGGCAGCCTTCATGCCTCCATAGGACAGGTGGCACGTAGGAGGCCCTGAAGCAGTCAGCCTGGAGGGGCTCAGAGCGCATCTCTAGCCAGACTGTGCCTCAGCCTGGTTCTACTATCACCAGCTGTGTGACCTCGGTCAAATGACTTAACCTCTCTGAACCCCAGTTTCCTTATTTTTATACATACTTCAGTGCCTGCTATGTGCTGCCCACTGTTTTAGGTGCTAGTGATACATTGGTGGACAGAAACTCATATTGCACAGAGGTGACAGATAATGAATAAGCACATAGACAGATGGGAAAACACTTAGAAATTTTGATGGGATCTATGAACGTAACAACAAGCTGCTAAGATAGAAGACACCTGGGAACTCCTCCTTTAGAAAGAGTAGTCATGGAGGGTTTCTTGAGGGAGATGACATGGTGAAAGGTGGATGATGAGAAGGAGCCACACCTGTGAAGCTCAGAGGGCGAGCAAATCATGCAAGGGGAGCAGGAAGTACAAAGGCCCTGAGGTGGAACGAGAGTGACTGTCTCTGAGGATGTAGGAAGGTCACTGGAGAAGGAGAGTGCTTACCCTAAAGGATTGTTGGGATGACGAATCGAATGATGTATGCAAAACCCTTAGCCCAGTGACTGGCATATAGTAGAAGCACTGTCCCACTCCACCTCAGCCCCAGAACCAAACCCTGCTGGAAGCTGAAGGAGGGGTTGGCAGGCTGAAGAAGTGTCTTCCATTTGCAGCAGACGGAGGGCTGCAGTGGGGTAGTCCTGTCTCTGGGAAGTGCAGGGGTCTTGTGCTTGGGGCTGGAGGGAGGCAGGGGCAGGGAGCCTCTGGATCGCTCAGCTGCTCCTCCTGAAAACCCAGACCTCTGGAGGTGAGATTCTGAATCTGCTCACTGTCCCCTGACTTCTGCCTCTCCCGCATTTCCTTTTCTCTCTGGTCCTGGGAAGCCGGAGAACCTGTTGCTGGCCTCCAAGCTCAAGGGCGCTGCGGTGAAGCTGGCGGACTTTGGCCTGGCCATAGAGGTAGAGGGCGAGCAGCAGGCATGGTTTGGTGAGTGGGGGCAGGGGGTGGCAGGGGTGTTGGCGGCCAGCCTTGAGTTGACACATTGGCCCCTAGGAACCCTTTGCCCGAGCGGGGGCTGGTTGGAGGTGGCCGTTGCCCCAACCAGGACTCAGAGAGTAGAGGGCCCCTTACCCAGTCTCTTTGTGTCAGTGATTGTCGCCCATCCTAGCTTCCTGGGGTCCAGCCTGGGACTTGGTTGTCATTAAAACAGTACATGACTTCTTCACATGCGCATCCAACACTGTCAGCTGGGGGCTTCCATGAGTTCCCCAGCAGCCTGGGTGCTAGATTATCATCTTGATTTTACAGATGAGGAACGGAGGCTAAGAAACTAAGAATAGGTGAAAGGAAATTAAAAGGGGTGGAGTCAGTTGACCCAGCATGCTCTTGAGATTTTGGCATAATTGAGTCCTTTTGGCTACCTGGGAATACTTTTTAGTGAGCAATGTTGATCAGTGGTTAAGAGCTTGAGCTCTAGGTTCATATCCTGACTGTGCTATTTACAAGGTGTGTGACTTTGAATGAGTCATTTCTCTGAGACTTCATTTTCTCGTCTGTAAAATGGGGAAGATAAAAGTATGTTCTTTGCACTGTGTGAAGATTAAACGAGATCAGGCATAGAGAGTTCTCAATCTTGCTTAGCATACATACTCCTTAATAGGAACTATTCTCACAATAACTTACCAAAACATTTTGGGTGTTCATTTTTTTAAGTAGTTCTCCCAACAGTGCTGGGAGTTGTTTAAGATAGAAATCCCTAATCCCTTGTTTCACAGATGAGGAAACTGAGGCCCCAAAGGAAAAGGGACCTACTTAAGGGACTTAGGGCAAAGTCAGTGTTAGGGATAGGCCTTCTGCCACCCTAGGACCAGATCCTGGATGGAATGGGGAGTGGCTGAGGGTTCAGCTCAGCGTGGAGCTGACAGGCTAGGACCTTTCACCTCGAGGATCACCAGCTCTTGACTGGTGGAGGCTTCTGGGAGGGTTCTGCCAGAAAGCTGTGACTCTGAGGCAGGGCCCTGTGGGAAGGACCCTGGGATGGATCAGTGACTTGGCCATGAGGCTCTCAAGGCAGGTGGTGACAGTATACTCTGTCCTCGTCCACCTTGGTCTAGAGGTGTTGCTGTCTCACCAGGTCAGGGCTTCCAGCTCTTGGCCGGCTCTGGGGGCAGGGGATGTTTTCCCCATCTCCAGGGCAGCCTTATCCCTCTTCCAGCAGGATCTTGCTCCCAGTTACTTATGTGCCAACCTCTGTGTATGTGTCTGCCTGTCTGTGTGTCTGGGGAGCAGGGTTCGCAGGGACACCTGGATACCTGTCCCCAGAAGTGCTGCGGAAGGACCCATACGGGAAGCCCGTGGACCTGTGGGCTTGTGGTGAGTCCATCTGAAGGCCCCTCCGTTCCCCTGGCTGCCTGCCCTCTGGTGCCCTCTCTCTCCTTTCCCATCACTCTCCTCCATGTGCCCCCCAATCCCTCCTACTTCTGGGGCTCAAGGTTCTCCTGGTCCTCTCCCCAGGGGTCATCCTGTACATCCTGCTGGTGGGGTACCCCCCATTCTGGGATGAGGACCAGCATCGCCTGTACCAGCAGATCAAAGCTGGCGCCTATGATGTGAGTGGTGCTCCTGTCTCCAGCTCCTTGCCAGCCCCTGGGCCCCGTCCAGTGAGAGTCAAGGCCTAGTGAGGCCAGAGACCCAAGGACGCCTCCCTCCTGCCCTCCTGCCACTCTCTAGCTATGGGGTGGGGGTGACCAGCAGGTGGAGCCTGAGGGCTGACTGGGGCCAGACAATGAAGTGGCCATGCCAGTGACTGGAGCATCTAAGTGATGGGGATTTAGTCCATGGGGCCCCAGAAGGCAGAATCAGCACAAAAGTAGGGTGAGATATAGAGGGGGCAGGCCCCAGAAGCCAGATTATCTCTCCACAGTTATACACACACAATTATATATTGTATGTATATAGGTAGACAGTAATAATAGCTAACACACATAGCAGTCTTCTAAATGCTTTCTATTATTATAATCTTCATACCAATCCTGACATAGGTACTGTTATTACTGCTTTTTTACAGATAGGGAAGCTGAGGCACAGAGAAGTTAAATAACTGGCCAGACCACATAGCTAAGAAATGGTAGAGCTGGGATTTGAACCCAGGCAGTCTGGCTCTAGTGTCCATGCTTCTGCCTACCAAGTATATTGCTTTTCTACACAGCTGATATCTATTGAGCCATGTACCATGCATTTTATATCATATTTAATCCTTACAACATCTCTAGGGGTAACTTGAGGGGTCACATGTCCAAGGTGACTTGTCCAAGGTCACACAGCCCAGGAGGCAGAGCTGGGACTTGAACCCAACCTTCCAATTCTAAAGTCTGGGCTTTCACCACTGACCTGCTGCTCTCCAGATAAGGCACACGACCTCAGAAGAGCAGAGGGAGGCCTCCTTTCCCCCGGCTATTGCTCTGATCTGTCCTGGGGTCAGGGGACCTTGCCCCAACTCCTCCTGGTTGTGGATGCCCACGTGGACGGGCAGTAGGACCCCTGCCTGCTCCCCTGCCAGTCAGGGGCTGGGGGATCGCAGGGGTGGCCTGGGGTAGGCTGGGCAAACTTGGCCCCTCTGCCCCTTCCAGTTCCCATCACCAGAATGGGACACCGTTACCCCGGAAGCCAAGGATCTGATTAATAAGATGCTGACCATCAACCCATCCAAACGCATCACGGCCGCCGAGGCCCTCAAGCACCCCTGGATCTCGGTGAGCCTTCCTCAGGAAAGCCCCTCCTGAGGATCCCTCCAGACCTCAGGATCAAGGCCCTCACAGAGTCCTGGACCTGCCCGCTGCCCCTCAGGCCCAGCATGGGGCTGAGGGGGCTTAGTCCAAGAGACTGACCTTGCTGTGGTTCTCAGGTGGAGAGTGGCAGTGGGAAGCATTCTGAGTTGGCACCATGATTGGTGGGGGGAGCTATTGGCTTCAAATGTCTCATGCCAGGATGTTTCTACCATCCCCTAGAACAGAGAATTGTTCTTTACAAGATACCCACCACATCCACAGGATATTCTGGGAGTGGGGGGACCCCGGGTGGGTCTGCCTACACTCACAGACCTCTCCCCCACTTCCTCCAGCACCGGTCCACCGTGGCCTCCTGCATGCACAGGCAGGAGACCGTGGACTGCCTGAAGAAGTTCAACGCCAGGAGAAAACTGAAGGTAACCGCGGGTCCTCATCCTCTGTGCCCCACAGACGAGGGAATAGGTTGGCCTGGGTCTGCACAGAGGCCAAGAGGCCCTTTCACTAGTTCTTTCCTTCACTGACTCAACGAGCGTTATTGACCGCTGGCTGTCTGGGCTGGGCAGTGAGTGGTGGCGAGGATAGACAAGTGACCAGGACTTTACGGGGCAGTGGTGAGTGCTGTGGCCGCCTGCCCTGAGGCTGTGGGGATCCATAGAGGGGCCAAAGAGGGGAGCAGATCTGCATGGACTAGGGAAGGATCCCAGAAGCCTTTCTGGGCAAGTGGCATTTGATCTGAGATCCTGAAGGATAAGCAGGTATTAACAGTGTAAAGTCAGATGGGGCAGGTGTTCTAGACACAGAGGATAGCCTGTGCAGAAGTCTAGAAGAATGAGCTTGACCCCTTAGGGGGACAGCAAGTGTTTCAGCGGGGCAGGGAGGGGTTTCCAGGGGTGATATGTGACCATGGTAGGGGTGAGAGACCCCAGCTGCCAACCGCTGGAAAGGAACGGCCGAGGGACTTGACAGGGGCTGTGCCCTGAGGAAGTCACAGTGTGCCCAAGGTGAGCCCCGAGCTGCCAGCCTCTCAGCAGCTCAGGGCTGTGACAGGTCCTGTCCTAGAGCTTGCTGGGGGCCCTGTGAGCAGGTAGGAAGGATGACCGAGGGGCCCCCAGCTGATTGGAACAGAGACGCCACCAGCATGCTGAGTGACAGATGCTGAGGCCCTGGCTCCTTGAGAACTTCCTCACCAGCTGCCCCCAGGCCTGGTGTGGTGGCTCAGGACAGGGACATGGGCCAAGGGGGTGGTGGTGAGCATGATGCCAGGGGAGCTGAGTCTCACCCCCAACCCCCAGTGGGAGCTGTCATAGATGTAGTCTCAAAATGTCAGAATCAGGGAGTCTTAAAATCATGGACCGCTGGACTCAGAGAATCCGAATTGGCCATTGGTCTCCAGCCCCCTTATTGATAGAGGAGGGTTTTTCCTTATTAATCCAAGGTTCTGAGCCCAGGAACTACAGAGAGGGGGATGAGCCAGTACTAGAGTGAGGAGCTTTGTGTCCAGGAAGAAGATGGAGACAGAGCTGAGGGGTGCACAGTCTAGTGTCCTTGGCCCAGCAGGAAACTTCCTTGGCCTTTAGGAACCTCCCCTGACAGGTGTCCCCAAGCACATCCACCAGCTCTGGCCAGGCCGGTGGGATCTATTAATATCTGCTCCTTGGATGGCCCTATCCCCTGAGCAGTGCCAGCTAAGGCCTAGCTCACCTCTGCCTCACCCTTCTCCCGGGAGGCGGGGATGGTCTCGGGGCTGTGGGGTGGGAGAAATGGAGGGCAAGGAGCTTCAGAAGGTTTTTGTGTCTGAATGGAGCCCATTCCTCTCCTTCCCCACCCCCTCCCATCTCTGTCCTCTCCCCTCACCTCTGGCCTCCTCTCCCCCAAACCGCCTTCTCTTCTCTGTTGCAGGGAGCCATCCTCACCACTATGCTGGCCACCAGGAACTTTTCTGGTAGGTGGCAGGGCCTCGGATTCATGCTCATACACATCCTGCAGGAGGTGGGGGCACTGTCGGATGGCGGATGGCGTATCTGGGTGCCCTCAGGCCAGATGGGGGCTGTAGAGGACTCAGTGACTGAGGGCTTAGCTCACCTGATACCCCCTGCAGAAGCGGTAAAGGTCAAAGGTCATCAAGCCAAGGACCCACCAGGAAGGGTTAGACGTTAACCCTTACCTCCCCTACCTCACAGCAGTGCTGGGTTCTCAGGCTGGGCCAGCTGGGGGGAGGCCTCCCATATGTCAGGGTCCAGGTGTGGGAAGGGACTGAGCCAGGCCCAGGGACAGTGGCATTCCTGTTCCCCACAGTTACCAAGCAGTTCCCATGCTTTCACTCATGTGGCCTTTGTGCCAAGGCGATTGCCACCCCTGTTTTCTGAATGAGGAAGCAGAGGCTCAGGGAGGTCAACTCTGACACACCCCAGGTCACACTGCTAAAGGGAGCTTTCAGGGCAGGTGTGACCAGTCCAGAGCACGTGTCCTTACCAGGCTGAATCACCAAGGAGTCCAGGGTAGGAGCCTTTGGCCTTGGTCAAAGCCAGGCTGGTTAAGGCAGGGAAGACCCAGTGACCTGTGGCATGTGGCCCCAAAGAGAGAAGGGGAAGGGATTAGCATCAGAGCTTAGCAAGAAGCTCCCCTTGGCATGTTGGAGAGTGCCGTGGCCAGTGCCCGCCAGAGGCTTCTCCCTGGGGAGCCCAGGATGGCTGACAAGGCAGTTGAGCAGATATAGCAAAGCTCACCCGAGGGGCCCTCTGGCTGGGGCTGGTGCCGGGGCCGGCCAGGGAGGGCTGCTGTGGACAGCTGGCCAGCCCCACCACGAGGGCTCTGCTCTGGGGAGCTGTAGGCCTGGCTTCTCTGAGAGAGCCCACCTGCCCATTTAACCAGCTGGGAGAACGAGACCCAGGCCCGGGAAGGCCCTGGAACTTCAGGTTTGGGCTTTCCCCACCACACAGAGCTGCCTTCCCATGCACTCCCCAGACAGGGATCCTGCAGTTCCTTAAACTGAAAGATGAGCCACCCAGGCAGTCAGAGTCTTTTTTTAACAGCTGAAGGGCCCCTCGGGCACTCTAGTCCAGAGCTCACAAAATGGAGTGCATTAGTTATTCCCGCTCTCTCCACGTGCTTGAGGGGCCAGTGGTGTTTTAAAAAAAATTTTTTTGGGGGGGTGCAGGTGGTGGTCAAGAGTTTCCAGCATTTAAAAACCAGGAGATTTCATAGAAAATCTCCTGAAAATTAGAATGCATGGCCTCTGGGGACCCTCAGTCCTGTCATAGTGGGCTGGAGTGAGAGGGGGCCCCCTTGGAGGTGTGAGGGGCAAGTCCTGCCCTCACTTGCTGTGTATCCTGGTCTAGCCCACAAAGTACATTGAGGATGGAACAGCTATTCCTCTCAGCTTTGGGATCTAGAGGTGCCCCGCCCCCCAACTTGCTTTGCAAGGTGGAAACTTGGCAAGAGGGGAAAAATGCACGAGAGCCTGAGGGGGGTCATCGGTGGGAATGTGAGAATGACTGGGGGGCTGGACCAGCTATGAGTCCCATCTTTCCAAACCTCTGGGGCATCAACGTTCAGTACCACCCCTCCTCCCCCAGCTTGCGCTCATCTGGTAAAGGACTTAGCATGGCTACTGTTTACTGAACATCTACTGCATACTTGTCAAGTGCTGTGTCTCATTTAACTTAAAGCCATTTGCTTGAGATCTGAAGCTGCCAGAAGTCAGGCTGTGCAGGGCTAGGCGTTCATGCCTTGTCCTGACGAAGGAAGGAAATGGGAAATGCCAGGTGAGGTCTCCTTGGGAGTCGTTGCTCTGCTTTTCTTGGCCACTGGGGAGATGACCAGCCCCAGCGCAGAGCTCTAGAGTTTGAGAATGGGGAGGCCTCTTCAGGGAATGGGTGCTCTAGCTGGGGTGGGTCCCAGAGGAGCAGGGAGTTGGAGGTGGGGGGGATCTGCTTCTTATCACCGGCAAAATGCAGCTCGCAGCTGTCCAGAGTGAGTAGGCAGGGCTGACACATGACCTCCGCAGTAGCATGGGGCTAAAATTAGAGCGGGCTGGGGCGGGGAGGGAGCGTCCAGCCCTGGGCTGGGGAGCCGGGCCTCCGGGTTGGCCACCACCAGCACGAGTGGTGACCGGGATCTGGAGGGAATCCCCAGACTGAAAGCGCTCCCACGGTCTGGGGCACAGTGGGCACCTCCTCAACCCATGGAGCCAGAGGGTCACGCCTGACACTGCTGAGAACCGGGGGGAGCCCAGGCCCACCCCTCCGCGGTGGGCCACCGGCAGTCCCCAGGCCACCCAGCAAGGAAGAAGAGCAAGAGGAGGAGGTCTCCCCACGCAGCTGCTGCGGCTCCGTGTCCTCTGCGGCCTGTGGATGTTGCTCTTCCTCGCGCTGTGGGCCCTGGTGCCCTGCCTGGTGTTGATAACCCTCTACTTTTTCTCCTCTGCAGGCGGGAAGAGTGGAGGGAACAAGAAGAACGATGGTGTGAAGGTAAGCCCCAGCCAGCCCAGCAGGGCCTGCCTCCGGCTTGCAGGTCCCGGCTTGCAGGGCTGGGGTGAGAGCCAGGCTTGCCGACAGGGTTCTGGGCAGATGTGCTCACCCATGCAGCCTGGGGTCCCCAGACCCAGAGACCTGGGCTTCGGTGCCCACCCTTCCACCAGCATGGATGGGGGCAGGTGGGGGAAGGGAGGGCTGAAAGAGGGTGGGAGAGGCAGGTGGCTTGGGGTTGGGGTGGGCATAAGGGTCAATTAAAGGAGATTTCTGTGATTCTGGAGGACTGGTGAGTGAGAGGTCACAAAGAAGGGACAGAGATGTCATGAGGGGTGACCTCCTCCTTCCCAACTGTGGGCTGGCTGGAATGGGCCCCTGACCCAATGCATGCCCCAGTCCAACCTACAGAGCCTGCAGGGGATGAACAGCCTGTCCGCTTGGCTTTGACATCCAGAGGTACTCACCCCCATCAAGGCCTGCTGGTTCAGTGCTAAGAATCCCCTCCTCCCATCCCCCCACCCCACCCCACCCCCAACCCAGGCCTGCCCTGTCCCCACCCCTGATGCCCGAGCTGCTTCCCTCCACACCCCGCTAACCCATCCCTCCCTCCTCTCTCTTCTCCCTCTGCTCTCTGGGGCCTGGTCCCCTGCTCTCTGCAGCTCCTTCCTCCCCTGCCACTGGCTCGCCTTGTGGGTTCTCCTCTCTTGAGACCCTGCCTTTTTCTGGGCTCAGAGCCCTGCCTGGCCAAGAGCCCCAGGGCTGGTCTGTGCCCAGAACACTGGAAGGTGTGGGATGCTGTCCAAACACAGCCACCCAGGTGGTCTGGTGGCTTCATGGCTTGGTTCATAGTGGCATGTAGAGTCTCAGGCCCCTGGCTTTGATCTGCCAGGGGTTGCATGGAGGGGACTGGGCTGTTTGCCTGAAGCCAGGATATGGGCCTTCTCTCTGCTCTTAGCCCTCTGAAGGCTTGAGTCTCCCCATAAGTACAGTGGGAAAGCGGGGCAATGTGAACTTCATGATTTCCAAGATTTCAGCTTTAAAAACAAGCAAAAAATCATTTTCTCTTCTCATCTTGGGTGCTTGAGGAATATGTAATTATTTGGTTATCAGTCAAAGCCCATGATTTTCAAATGGAACTCTTTGGAGCCCAAAGCTTCTTGGGAGACACCTCTGGCAGCAGCTGGAGAGGGACTGAAAAGTGGGAGGCTGAGCAGAGAGCCCGGGGCTTCCTCACCTACTTCAGCCAGAACAGCTCCACGGACCAGCCGTCACAGTGGTTGAGAGAGCCTGGGTGAGCTTAGGGCCCATTTGAATCTCTTGATTCTGTCTTTCTTTGTTCAAGTAACGGGTAGAAAGGGTCTCCCACCTCCCAGAGCTGTTTGTGAGGATGTACTGAGACACTGTGTTTTGAGGACTTACAGTCCTGGCGTGTGAAACCCACTCATGAGAGGCTAGTCAGTGGTATTATCTTTTCTGCTCTATGTGTTGGACTTTTGGGTAAGGTTTCTTCTGAAGTGTGCTCAAAAAAATATTTGGAAACCACAGATCTAAAGCCAGACTAATTTAGAAAGTTGACACGCATCCATCCCAGATACTGTAATGGAATCCAGGATTGAGTTTTGGCTTACCTGATGTTTGGGGTTACCCACGAGTCACCCCCTCCCCTCCCAATTTGAAAGGGTGATGGAGGGCTGTGCAGTGTGGGTTGGGGGCAGGCACAGAGCAGCCGGGGCCCAATCTGGCCCTTGTGTGTAGACAATGGGGGTGCTGGGTGCCATGGGAAAAATCCTATTTGGGGGATATGGGGCAGAGGCCGCAGGTGATGGTGGGCTGAGGCCCATGTAGGAGGAGGAGGAGGAGGAGGAGGGGCCCAGGCAGGGCTGCCGAGTTCTGCTTGGTACTCGGGTGTAACTCTCCAAACTCTTGGTCAGGGCCTCCCTCAGGCCAGGTGGTGGAATGGAGCTGTAGTCTGGCTCCTCTCCTGTTGTGACAGGAGGCGGAGGCTGTCTGAGGGCAAGGACATCCTATAGCATGGCAGGGCTCTGGTTGGTCAACGCAGGACCTTTCAGTGGGCACAGCTGAAGAGTGTGCCTCTGCTCCCTGTAGTGCAGGACAGAATCCGGGTGACTTTTCAGGGTAGCCTGGATGTGGAGGAAGAGACACACAAAGGTTGTTCCTGGCCCGACCCTTTCTCTGCAGCTCAGCCTTCTCCCCCTGCTTGGGATGAAGGAGGGGGAATATCTAGTAGGAAGATAAGAGTGACCCAAGGGGCTTGGCCCAGGATCTGGCTTACAGGATGTTGCTTTCGGAGGTCCATTCATGTTTTTACTCTGACTGAAACTGGACCTCAAGTCAAGAAGCCAGGGTTTTGAGCCTGGGCCCCACTGTTCTCTCCCTTGGGGCTCCGGGTCATCAGTTCCATCATCTGTGCAAAAAGAGAAGAGCTGTTTTCGGGGAGCTGGTGAGGGTTTCCCACCGGGGCGGGCCTGGTGGAGTCACACCATGATGCTGTCTGGTAATCAACACGTGCTCAGCCAAAGTGGGAAATACACAATTCCTCTTCCAACTTGGTCCCTAGAGACAAACCACTGATTCCACCCTGAGCTTGGTTGAAGAAGCACTGATTGGTTCCAGCGCTGGAGGAAAAACTGGCTGGTTCAAGATATGACACAATACAGTACTTTATAGGCTTTTAAGGGCTTTTCAAGGCTAATTTTGACCATCGCCCATTTCTACCATCCTTGCCAACCTTAGAACCATCTTCTCCATGTGGTTCTAAGAGATGTGACTCTACTTCTGGTTACAGCCCACTTTTGAAATGAAACTAACATGCTGGTTGGTGTGGGGTTATTATTAGCTTCATCATCATCTTTATGATTCAGGAAAATTGAGTCTTTCCATTACCAAGAAGCAATGCCCCCCCGTCCCAGCCACTACTAGGCCACTACTTCCATGAAGAGGGGCTGCTGCTCCCACCCCTCAACCCCACTCACTGCCCCTGTTGGTGTCCCATCCGTGCGTCATGACCCCACCCCTCCATGTCCCATCCTGTCACTGTATGTCCGAATCTGATGCAGTCTCTGCTATGTGTTTCCTCCTCGTGTCCCGCCTGGAACCTCCTGGCCCCCACGCCACTCTCGGGTTTCTGCTGACAGCCGAGCTGTGTGGGCCTGTCCCGTCCAACACGCACTGTGCCTGGCCCGGCTCCAGCCAGGAGTGAAGCCGACACTAGGAGGAAAGGAGAGGGGAGGAGATGAGAGGGGAGGGGAGGAGGGACTGGCTGCTGGCTGCGGAAGTCACACCGCCTGGGCCAGCTGGGGCAGAGGCAGGGGCTGTGAGCACTGACGCTGGAAAAACCCAGTGAGCCACCCTGGCCGCCTCTGCAGAGGCCCTGGGTGGAGAGGAAAGGATCTCAGGCTCCTGGACCTTGGAGTCAGAAAGCCCAGAATTAGACCTGAGGACCCTCAGAGAATACCCAGTGCCTCCCCTGGCAAAGGCCTACCTGGAGGGCATCTCAAGTCTCCCCTCTGGTCCCCACACAGAGCAGCTCAGGGAGCAGCCTCCTGGCCTCTCAGATGCAAGTGCTTCTAGGATGAGCCATGAGGAGCCATCAGGCTGTGGGTACCTGAAGACCTAGACAGGGCAGAGGGCCTGCATCAGGGGTTCCAGCTTCTTCATTGGTAGTAGCTATCTGAGCCACCTTGAGCCCCAGTTTCCCACCTGTGCGTTGCAAGTGTCAGTCTTGACCTGCAACCTCCTATGAGTGTGAGTCTTTAAGACTCCAAGTTTAGAACTGAAAGAAGAAGAAAAGTTACATGTTCCTCTTTCCTTCCCTTGAGTCCCACAGGTCACATGACAAATTCCTGCAAAGTTAGAATAGGCTGAAGGGAGGACCCTCAGGATTTTTGAGGGCGCTTAGGGGACTGGTTCCCACTCCTGCCTCTGCTTTGGAATCACCTGGGAATATCATTTAAAATAAATACGCCCAGGCTCTGATGCAGACCTAGTTATCAAACTCCTGAGAGGGACCCAGTTATGTATATTTTGGACAAGCTTCCTGAGTGACTGTGACACTCAACCCAATCAGGAGTGGGGTCCTTTCAGCAGAGACACAGGGAGAGCCTAGGAGGGGACACTGAGCCTCGTCTCCAGACCCGAGCATCCTTTTGTCCCTCAAGAGCTTTGGATTCTGGAGGTCTTGGGCAACTAGTATCTGAGACCCAGGATTTGTCTCCACATCCCAGTTTGGCGTAAGGGGAGCCCTGGTCCAGAAGAGGCTTGGCCTGTAGCTTGGGTTGTTGAGACCCAGGCAGCGGTGCGTAAGGCCCCAGAACTCCAGGCTGGAGAGGACTGTCCCTGCCGGGTCAGCTGCTGCTGGTGGCCCTGACCTTGTCCCAACACTGGCTGGCAAGGGGCCACAGAGGATGACCCCGAGGCCCATCCTCCTTCCAACCCTCCCCTGTCATTCGTTCCTCTGCTCCCTGCCGTTTTCACGCTGTGTCTTTTCCTGTCCCATCTCTTCTCCTTGTTTTTCCAGAAAAGAAAGTCCAGTTCCAGCGTTCAGTTAATGGTGAGTGTCTGCCGTCTCCCAAACGCCGGTAAATCCTGGGCCTCGAACCCTCGCTCCTGCCTCCTTCCTGCAGGCTGCAATGGGAACCCGGGGCGGGGAGAGGGGGCTCAGGGCGTGCTTGGTACGTGTGCCTCGTGTGACAATATGTGTGTTGTGTGTGCGTGTTGTTGGTGTGTTTCTGTTGACACCTCCAACTCCATGGCCCAGGCCAGCAGCCTGACAGTAGACCTGGGAACTCCCTTGGAAGCAAAGATTGATTTGAACCCCACCCCACATCCAGCCTGTGGCTTCTCGCTTCTCCCCACCCTGGCTCTGGGAACTCAGCTTAGGGCTCAGTTTGTGCCAGTTGTGGCCGCTGGGGGGCTTGGTTTGGCCAAAGCCGTGGAGGCCCTTGTTGAGCTTCTGCGAGGCAGCCCAGGGCCTGCCGGTGGCAGAGGAGCCACCAGCCGCTGCCTCTGTCTAGGGGTTCCTGTGGTGGCAGGGTGGCCCACGCCCCTCCTCTTCTGACTCCATTGCTGTCTCCCTCAGTTGTGTGGTCTTTCTCCCCCTGAAAAGCCCAGGCTCTCTCACACTGGGCCTCCCCCTCTCTCTCTTCCTCCCCTGCCAGTGTGTGTACTCCTTCCCCATCCTGTGGCCACCACGTGCCTCTCTGCCCTCCACACCCCCTCTCTGCTCCCTCCAGCAGACAGGGCTCGGGACAGCCCGCCCCCACCGCCCCACCCAGCCCTCCCAGAAAGGCCAGGGCTCTTGCGCATCCACCCCTTTCCTTCTCACCCTGCTCCCCGCCACCAGCCGCCTGCTGAGTTGGGCCCGTCCCCTCCTTAGGCTCGGAAGGCTGATGGGATTTTTCAGTGCAGCATCTGGACGGCAGAGCCGATGAAGCTTACAGAAACGGGGCCGCAGCATCGGGCAGCTGGGGCAGCCCCCAGCTGACCCCACCTCTTTCTGCTTAGCAAGTGGGCCTCACCACCTCCCATCTTCTCTTTGGCAGGAATCTTCAGAGAGCACCAATACCACCATTGAGGATGAAGACACGAAAGGTAGGAGGGGCTTGCCTTCAGCATCAGGGCTCCCAGGCCTCCTGGTGGGCCCCCTTCACTGACACTCTCCTGCCTGGAGGGGCCCCTAGGCCAACTTTGTATCCCATCTCTCTATAGAGAGCCTCACTTTGCCCCCTGTAGGCTGGGTACATTGTGGGGCAGCATTTCCCCGTATGGCGTGCCTGGCCCACTAGTGGTATCTGGATGGACTTCTCTTATGGCAGCAGTTACGTGTTGACTTTAACATGTATTAAATTAATTCAACATGAAAAAAATTAACATAGTCAAGTCATAAATGTAGTAGTATACATTTTCCTTTGGAAGTGTTTTTGAAATTTTTAAAAAAGATGAGTTGATTTTAAAAACTTGAAGTAAAGGAAGGGAAAGCAGAAATATAGAAAGTTCAACAAACTGGAATATGGGAAACGCTGCCTAAGACCAACCCAAGGACTTCTCTGGTGGTCCAGTGGTTAGGACCCTGCACTTCCAGTGCAGGGGGCACAGGTTCAATCTCTGGTTGGGGAAGTTCCGCGTACCACTCGGCATGGCCAGAAAAAAAAAAAAAAGGACCAACCTAAAATGCAGGGGCTATTGTAGCCAGTGACTAATAGTCTTCACCAGCACTCAGATGGAAGGGGGAGCAAGACTCCAAATAAATGTGATTTGATGGTAAGAGAGGAAATAATAGAATGGCAACAGGAATAATGGCTGTCTTTTATGGGGCACTTGCTGTGGGCTAGACATGTTTCAAATGCTTGATATTCAACCTAAGCTTTACAACAAGCCTAGGAAGTAGGTACTGTGATTAACCCCATTCAACAGCCCAGAAGCTGAGGGGTTGAGTAAATTTGCCCAAAGTCCCAGAGGTCATTAACGGTACAGTTAGGATATGAACCCAGGAAGAGCACCTCCAGGGCCTGGCCTGTAACCTTGGCTGGGGCGGCCTTGCCGGCTGGAAAGTGTGCTTGGAGCTTAGAGGAGGGAGGGTGCGTGCTGACATCGGCACCAAGTCCTTGGATGAGTTAGTGCTGTCCTGATGTTCTGCCTGTACCTGGCCCTCCTTATTGCCCTGGGACAGGGAGACCCGGCAAGCCTGGGGTTCTCACACTCGGGCATGTAGCCGAGATGCCTGGGGAGTCTCTGAGATCTAGAAAAACAGCGCTGACCTGGAGAGACCACAGTGGTGCCAGTCGAGATATTTTCAATTTAGACGACTTGCTTCTAAAAGAATACAGTCATGAGGAAAAGAGTGTTTTCTTATGTAATACATATTCTGCACCATTGCCAGTCAGGCTGCTTTAAGGCAGTTTTGACACGCTGAACACTGTGACTGCCTCCTGACTCTACCAGGATGTTTGGAAGAGTGGTCCCACCCTGTGTGTATCCCACTCTGGTCATTCCCAGCTGGGAGTGGGGTGGGGTGGGGGGCGGTCACTCCATCACCATTACCTGGTGCCAGAGCAAATCAAGCATCTACCATGGCACTCGGGACAGCCTTCAAAATGCATTATCTTGAAGAATTCTTTGGGATCAGACCAGTATTCTCAGCCCCTCGAGCATTTATAACCGTATTCCTGGCCCTGCTTGTGTGGATCCTGATTCCATAGGCTTGTGGTGGGGCAACAGAGGGTGTGTCTGAAACACTGGCTGTATTTGAGGCTCCCTGTCCCAGTGGTAAGAGCTGGGTGCTGGGTGTTTTGGGGAGACTGGTTCTGGCCTCATAATCCTGGTCTCAGAGCAGACAGGGTCTGTGGAGGCAAATGAGCTCTGTGATTGTTCACTGGAGTCTATTTGCTGGGTGACTTTAGGCAACTTACTGAACCTCTCTGAGCCCCTGTTTCCTTAACTATAAAGAGATAATGATAACAGTACCAAGCTCAGAGGACTGCTGTGCAAATGAAACAAGAGGCTGTGTCTAAAGTGCTTACACGGTGCTTAGCATATGGTCACTGTTTAATAAATCTTAATTTCTTTTCTTTCAAACTGGAGCTTATGGTTGAATGACTGGAAACCATACAGTATTTTCCTGGAGCACCGGTTTTACTCAAAGATTACTTTAAGATAAATATTTATATGTTAAACAGACAGAGAAATGTTTGAAATAGAATGTAAAGTTTGTGTGCACTATTAATGTAATGTGCAATGTGACCCGTTAAAGACATTTTCCACCTGGAGTAACGGCTCTGGGTTGTATCCCTAAGGCCTGACATTTACCATCATTATCTTCTGCTTTAGAGCTATCAGGATGGGAACATTTGTGAAGTCTTGAATTTCAGTTCATTTGTGTCCCTTTTAAAGAGGGGAGGAATAAGTTGCCCTGGTGGCCCAGTGGTTAAGACTCCGCACTTCCACTGCTGGGGGCATAGGTTTGATCTCTGGTCGGGGAACTAAGATCTCACATGCCTATAGCACGGCCAAAAATAAATAAATAAAATAAAAAGAGGGAGGCTGAAGCCCAGAGAAGAGAAAAAGCATGTCAGTGTTATTAATGGTAGGACTTGGAGCCCATTCCCTGCCTCAGTTTCCATACATGTAAAGGGCCATGTCTGCTGGAAGAGATACTGGCCCATCCGGGAGCTTCTCCCGCTGTTTGGCAGGAGAGAGGAGCCCTGAACCTCCCCCAGGTTCTTCAGGCCTCAGAGAAAATTTCCAGAGAACCATTTTCTGGTGTTAATTTGTTAAGTCTTTTTACTAAGTGAGAATAGCAGCTGGTAGGGTGGATTCTGACCTATCATTAAAGTTAATTAGAAATGTCATCCTCCAGGGAACATTTCCCCCTGAGCAAAGAAGGGGACATGAATATTTCAGAGCCCCTCAGGCTGATACACAGGGCTCTCACTCTCCGAGCTGAACAGGGCTCTGCTAGGCTTCCTCCCCACTGCCCTTCTCCTGGCCAGATCCTTGAAAACTCCGTTTCTTTTCCAAAGAGCTGCCTCCAAATCTGAGCAGAGACATTCTGGGAAATATTAGCTGGGAATGCTGATCTCATCTCAACTGCCGCATGCTGTGTGACCTTGAGGGAGTGTCTTAACCTCTCTGGGGCTTCAGCTTCCCCAGCTATGAGGGAACACTCTTGGTTGTCTGGGTGAATGCCTAGAAGATTAAAAATGCTAGAGTTGCTACTGAGCAGCTGCTGGCTGAATCTTTCATAGAGCAGTGGGTCTGCTGAGAACATGGGAGGGGCTCAGAACAAGAGTGAATTTCTCCAGATCTAAGGAGCACCAGAGCCCCAGATCTTTGGTCCCAGAGAATGAAGTGAGGGAGATTCCTGCCTGCCAGGCTTTAACCGTTGGCAAACTTGGTGTCCTATGTGGGTGAAGGCCAAGTTAGGCATTCGGGCTAACTTGTCTCAGGCTGCATTAATAGAGGTATAGTGTCCAGAAATGGGGAGGGGATAAAGAGTGCTACCCTAAACCTTAGATTCTGCAATATTCAAGCTATATCTAGGACTGTGTGCTCATACTCACAGAAGCATCTAACTGCTTAAGTACCCCAGAAGAGTAGATAGCCAGCTTGAGTGAGATCCTGCAAACCACATGCTGGAAGCTTTCAGCCCCGAGAAGAAAAGGCTGGTAGGTGGAAGGCATAAAGTCTGGGATATCAGGTGCACGGTGCAGGGCCCCAGTGACTAAGGGGCTTCTAGGGGGAAATTTCAACTTAAAAGAAGGACATGGGTGCAAATGGAAGAAACTCTCCAGCAGTGTGGTGGCCTCTCAGGCAGGCTGCAAGCCCCAAAGCTTCAACCAAAACTGAAGCATCATGTATCAGGCTGCTGGGAAGCGTCCCGGCCTTGCTAGAGGCTGTCCTCAGGGGGAACTTCCAATTCAGAGCTTTCCACTGAGGATAATCACAGCTCTCAGTTACGGAGCGCCGGGCACTGCTCTCAATGCTTTACATAATGCATCATTATTTACATAAATGACTTGATATAAAGGGCTTGGAACAGTAGCTGGTTCTGAGTGAGGACCATATGTGTGTTAGTTATTTTTGTTGATATATTCTTAACCCTCAGAACCACCCTCTGAGGTAAGTACTATTAGTAGCTCCATTATACATATGGGAAACTGAGGCAGGGGGAAGCTTGCCCAAGGGCACACAGTTATTGAGTAGTAGAGCTGGGGTCTGGCTGCAGAATCCGTGCCCTTGACTGCTTGGCTAGTCTTTCTGACATGCTGGGGAGAAGCAGCCCACAGGAGACAGGGTGTTAAGCAGAAGCTCATGGAGTGTCAAGCGGGAAGGGTACATAAAGCCATACAAACAAGACAGAGGGAGGGGCTCGGGCACCAGGGCCCGCCAGGAGCCTGAGAATTTGCCCTGGGTGGTCACCATGATTCCACGTGGGAGCGGCTGGAATGAGGTATCTCCTGATAGAGGTGCGTTTCTCTCCATCCTCAGTCTCTAGCTTGACCAGGAGACTGGGTTGTTGGGCTCCAAGGGACAGAGGCTACTAGGCAACTTGGGCAGTTCCAGGGAACAGGGCAAAGACAGCAGCCCCAGATCCTGATTTGGTTTATCCACTCATGCATTCATGCTGCCGATCTCAGTGCCAGGCAAGACCCCAGAGTCACCTGGCAGAGCTCATGGTCTAAGACACACATTCCCAGTCCTGGTGATTCTTAGCGGAGCCAGGAGATAAAGACTGTGTGGCTCACTGTGGTGGCTGACACTGGAGATGGTAACTTTCAAGATGGTTACGTCTACTGAGCACTTACCACGTGCAAGAGCTGTGCTGGGCATCGGGCCCTGCCCTGAGGGGCACATGGCAGGGCAGAGATGGTGATGATGGCTTTGTTGCTGCACAGACACGGAAGCAGACCATTTCACCTGTCGCCTCCAGTGTGGCTGGAGCTCATCTCTGAATGGGGAGTGAGCAGCATAGGAAGCTGTGCTGGGAGGCTTCAAGCTCTAAGGCTTGAGCACTAGCATGCTCCCTCGCTCTGCAATGAATGTCTGCGGAGCCAGGCCTACTCCAGGGGCCAGTGAACCTTTGCAGTGCTCATATTAAATATTTGAGTTGGGGAAGAGACAGCCCATGGGCCCAACATGACAGGGAATGTGTTGGAGCTCCCGGGTTCTGGGAAAGGCCCTGCGCTGGGAGCCAGAGGGCAAACCCGGGATGTTCTGGGTCCTTGGGCAGGCCACACCTCTTACCAGGCTTCTGTTTCCCCAGTAGCTGGATAAGGAGGCTGAGCCTCTGGTCTCCAAAGTTCTTGCAGCTTGGGTGCTTTGTGATTCTGTGTCCTTTGGGCCTGAGGTGAGCTCCCCAGTGTGAGGTGGGGCAGGGTGGCCCCTGCAGTTGGTAAGGAAAAGGGCAGGCAGGGTCAAGGGCTCTGACAGGAGCAGTCTCCTTCCCACGCTCCCAGCCTGAGAGATGGGCAGTATGTCCACCCGTCTCACCTAAGGTTGCTCTGGCCAGCCAGCTCACTGACCAGGTTTGAGGCCAAGTTTGAGCCTGGGGAAGAAGGGGAGGCCCCAAGAAACTGAGTGAGGCTTCTGGGAGGACCGCCCTGCTGGGAGCCAGGACATTTGACTTCCAGTTCCTTCATTGCCGAGGCTTGGTCTCTTCATGTATCAAATGCGAGGAAACTGGCCTTGCCTGCCCCCACCCCCAGGCCATGAGGAGCAGATGCAACAGTGCATGTGGGAGGATATAGGAAGTGGTACTTATGGTATGTACCTTTTTTGCGCCAGGCTCTGGTCCAAGTGCCTCGGGCACATCATCTCATCCCATAGTCATAACAACTCTGGGATGAGGGCATTATTGTCTCCATATGATGGATGAGAAAACAACTTTGTGGCCCATGGCTACACAGCTAATAAGGACCCAGGCTGGGATTTAGATGAAGTCTGTCTGATACTGAAGCCCAGGTTCTTTACACCACTTGTTCAGCACTGAATGTATGAGAGGTGATAGCGTCCCGATTTTACAGATGGGAAAGCTAGGGCACAGAACATCACACACCTAATAAGAACACTGATATCTAATCCTCTACCAGAAAGACAGCAGCTGTTTGTGGTGTTTCAGTGGCAGACAGGGGAGGCCAGGTATCAGTAACTGGGATTCATTATGCCTGGAAAGTTCTAGAAAGCTCAGTGCCTGATTTTTGTAGGTATGCAAATGGAATAAAAACTCACCCAGACCTAAGGGATAAATAAGCCCTAAGCCCTTCCTTAGTGGCCCCAGTTTAGACCACAGGGGAACCTCTGGTTTTTGGCTGCTGGTGGTGATCATCACAGGTAACCTTGCTTGGATTCAGGTGGCAAAACGAGGTGATGGGGAAGTGTATTTTGGAGTCAAGACGTGGGTTCAAATCAGACCTAGAGCCAGAACCATGCTTGCTCTCTGGAAGCAGAGGCTGCCAACTGAAACACAGGCTCTACCCTTTGTGGTTGAGGGAACTTTCACACCCTTCCACCTTTCTGGGCCTCAGTTTCTTCTTCCATGAAATGGGAGTGATGACACCCAGGGACAGTGTGGGGACAACTGAGACAACGTGAGGCCCTCAGGGCAGGGGCTGGTGCGTGCGGAGGGCTCAGGATCCGGGGGCTGGCGCCACATCTCCATCACGATCACTATTATTTCCCTGTGTCCCCTCCTGCCTTACAGTGCGGAAACAAGAAATCATAAAAGTGACAGAGCAGCTGATTGAAGCCATAAGCAATGGAGATTTTGAGTCCTACACGTGAGTTGGCTGGGTGCATCCTGCATGTCCTGCCTGAATCAGGGGGCGCTGATGGCTAATGTTGGGGGGGTCTTTGTCTCTGACTCTCATTCACTCACACTGCATGTGCCATGAATCAGGCTGAACTCATTAAGTCTGGTGTGCCTTCAGACTTTATGCTTTCATAATGAAGCTTTTTGCTCACAGTACTTGTCTATATCTCAGTCCTGCTCCTCTGCCTGCTCCTATCTTGTTGTTTAGGAAGAATTCCAACAAAACTCTTTTCCTTCCCCAATGAAAGAGGGGGTGGCTTCCACTGCAACATGGGCCTCCTCAGGAGATAAGCTGGGAAGGAGGGGAGGGAGGCAGGCCCTTCCTCAGTCATGCTATGTGGGCCTAGGCCGCACTGGACTTCCTCTGACCTCAGATGAGCAGGAGCAGGCAGGAAACCAAACTTCAGTGAGCAGGCGGGGAGCAAAAGAACCTCAAAAAGCAATTCTGAGCCATCCAGGGATAAGGCAGAGTGCACAAAAATAGCATGATATGAAAAAAATGGTATGAGACATTCCCTACACACCTGGGCCAGCCCTTGAAGTGACCAGTGTACAAAGACTGGGCTGGAGCGCCCCCTGGTGGCCATCTTCAGCCTTGCTGGTCGAGGCCAGCAAGGACCTCAATGGGCCCCCTCAGGAGAGCCAGGATTCTGTGCTGAGGGCTCAACGTCTTGGCCAGGGCTGACAAGGCCCGGGTCTGAAGCCCCCACCTGCGCTTTTTGGTGGACAAAAGCTGCCAAGTAAGGGCAGAATGACCCTTGCCTGTTGGGTGAAGTAGGAATGACCTGGGTGGGCTTTGCTCCATGGGCAGCCTGATCCTGGTTACTGCTGTGCCCAGGAGTTGAGAAGTTTGTCTCTCAAAGGCTGGGCAGGCCAGGTGCATCCTGATCGTGGGAGGGTTTCAGCAGCAGCGGGTGACAAAGCCCCGGCAATCTGCTGATTATCTCTGGAGAAACAAGGACCTTGGAAGGTGCAGGTGTGAGACGGAGGCCGCATGTACACGCGAGTGTGATGTACCTATGCACACGTAAAATGCACGTTTGTGACTGCGTGCATAAGGGGTGTGCATGGGTGTGTGTGCATGTGTGCCCCGAGGGTTGCATAAGAACATGGAAATGTGCTCTTGAACAGATTTTGCATCTGGCCTTGGAAAGAATTAAGTCAGTGTTGAGAGAGCCTGAGAGTGACTCTGAGGACACAGCTATAGGGAGGGAGGGAAGGAGAGGTGTCTCCTGTTGACCCCAAACCCCCCAAGTCTTCCACCTCTGCAATATCACTTCCTCTGTAGCCTAGGTTTTGACCCCTTGCTATGACCTCTGGGGCCTGTGGTGCTGAGTCTGACCCTGTGTCACCCTGGATAAGCCCCTTTGTCTCTCCGAGCCTATTTCCCTCCATGTACAATGGAATGGGAGCAGATGGTTTCTGAGTCCCTTCAGAGGCCCAGAGACCTCCTGCAGAGGGGTTCCTTGGAGAGAGCGAGGGGGTGCTTAGTCTTCCAGATGGTCAGGGCACAAAGCCCTGCCTTAGAGGACTCTGGATCTGGAAGGATCCTGGGAATCCCACATGATCTGAGAACAAGCCCGCTGGCAGATCCGTCAGGAGAAGCTGAGGTTCTGAGTGGAGAAGCTAATTGTCTGGAGTCACACAGACAGATTGGTTAGGGCAGAACAAGGGCAGGGCACCCTGCACTCACCACAGCTCCAGCTCACCGAGGCTGGGCCCTCCGCCGTTGTCTTCAGTCCCTCCCCAGGTTGGGATCTTATTTTCTCCTGGGGTACTTTCTGTCCCTGGCTTCACTGTCATTGTCACAGGGGTCCACGTTGTGTCATAGAAGAACTCAGAGACCTAGAGACGGGGGAGACAGTTTTTTCCTTCCTCCATCTGGCTATTAGGGTCTCTCAAAAAGCAGACCGGAGTGGGAGCCCTGAGCGGAAAATACACAGCAGAGGGCCCGCTCAGCCACGCCCCGGGCTCCTTCCTTCCTGGCGTCGCTTCTTGGACTGCAATTTTCCTCATCTTACAGAAGAGGGACCTGGGGCTCCCAGAGGACGCTGCTGCCAACAATAGGACATCTCCGTTTAATGTAGCAAAACGCACTCCCTCCAGGGACACACCTGCTTGGTGAACAGAAGTCAATTTAAAGTGAAGGAAAAGGTCCCCCTGCCCAAGGAAGACAAATTAGGAAAGCCCCCTCTGGACGCATCTGCTGCCTGAGGTGGGGGGTGTGATGTAATCTGGAGAGTTGTATACAGGCTGAGTTATCCCTGCTGGCATCTTGGTATGGCCCTCTTGCTCAGATATGTTAAGCCATTGCTGGGGGAAGGGGGGGGGGTGGTCTCATGACATGTAAGTGGCAGAGCCATGGTTTGGACCCAGGCTTCCCAGTCCCCAGTAGCACCTGCCAGTCAGCAGTGTCCACACTGTACCTGTCCCAGCCCTGTCCCCTCCACAGCCTCATTGATCCTGTGAGGTGGGTGCAGTCACTTTTGATTTCACAGGCTCACCTTCCTGGGGTCCAGGCTCCTGGAATTAGAGGGGGCACCCGAGAGGCCACCCCAGCCCATCTTTCCTCTGACTTCCTCCCCCCAGGAAAATGTGTGACCCTGGGATGACGGCCTTCGAACCCGAGGCCCTGGGGAACCTGGTCGAGGGCCTGGACTTCCATCGATTCTATTTTGAAAACCGTGAGCAATCCCTTCCCTCTGGGCTGCCTGTTGTCTGCTCTGTTCGGCGTCCTGCCAGATGGCACAGCAGGGTGACGGGCAGGGCCCCCGGGGCAGCCAGGAACCAGTGAGGAGGAAGAGCCCGTGTGGACAGGGCTTGGTACCGCCTTGGTTCTCTCTCCGAACCCAGGCCTGTCCAACCGCTGTGGCTGTGGATGGAGACTTGGATCAGTGTGACAGGCCCTCCCAGCCCTCACCTGCCCATGACCCTGGGAGAGCCTGGGGAAGACCTTTATTCCCTTTCTACAGATAAGGGCGCCCTCCAGGGGCACACCCCCAAGTTACAGTCACCTGAATGCCTGCGGCCACCCCAGCTGACCAGCTGGTTGCAAACCGGCACATAGGTCATCATGCAGGTGCCCCGATGGGTGGGCATGGAAACGCACTCGTAGGTGAGAAGAGGGGACCAAGCTCACACTGCTGTGCCCTGCCTGTTTGTCTAGGTCTCTGTCCGCATGTCTGTCCTTCCTGGGCCTCTCCTTTGCAGGAGAGACCCTGGCAGCTTTGCAACCCGGGGCTGGCAGGGGGCTGAGGCTGGGCCTGACCTCGGGCGCTTTCTGCCTGCGTCTGTGTCTCGCCTTGGCCAGGGGTCAGACAGGGATAAACCAATCCACTCGCAGGTTAGACTCATGTAGCTTAGGACCCGGAGGGAGGCCCCGAGAAGAGGCACAGCCAAGGTCCCCCAGAGGGAAGCACTGAGGCAACGCTCTGTGGTTTCCTGCGCTTGTGGGCACCCACTGAAACAGCACTGGTTCACACAGTGAGAAAGTGGGTCCCTTTCTAAAATCTCTTTCAATACATCTGGCTCTGCCAAGGGGAAAGGCTCACTTTAATGTTAGTCTCTCTTAAATACCTACCCACTTTCTTTCTTTTTTTTTAGTTCTACCACTTTATTGCTACCAACCCATCTCCCTCCACCCTCGTGCAACATGCTCAGTCATGTAATCCCATGGACTTTAGCCACCAGGCTCCTCTGTCCATGGACTTTTCCAGGCAAGAATACTGGAGTGGGTTGCCATTTCCTTCTCCACCTACCCACTTTCTAACTCACCTCTTTATCAAAAAGAGAGCGGCCTCAGGCCCAGGTGCCTTGCAGGAAACAGCATGGAGCTAGGATTATATAATTTGATTTCATTTTCACTGGGCTTATTAAAAGTGTATTCTGTAAGACTGGTTACTCATTAATGATTGTTTTAGAAAGTTGTCTTTTAAAGTAAATGTATATACATTAATAAAGTGAATTGATTTAAGGAAATATTTTCATAAAGTAAGTATGTGCACATGCTAAGTCGCTTCAGTCATGTCCAAGTCTTTGCGACCCCATGGACTGTAGCCCACCAGGCCCCTCTGTCTGTGGGATTCTCCAGGCAAGAACACTGGAGTGGGTTGCCATAAAGTATAGGTAGATGGTAAAAATAAAGGTAGTACGTAAGCAACTGAAGTTGGCTCTAGTCCAACTCTTCATTGTACAGAGGGGAAAACTGAGGTCCAGAGAGAGGAAGCGACTTGTCCAAAGGACCCAGAACGTTGGTGACAGAACCTGGTCCCGACTGCCTCCAGTGCCTCCTTCCTTCCCCGTGCTCTCCCCTCACCTGGGCACCAGAGATGGGCACTCCTCTCCTGTCTTCCTACAGACTAATGGAATCTTGCAGAGTACAAGGGCTTAAGAGCATCCCCAAAAAGCTATGAAGAAGGAAAGAAGGAAGTTGCATTTTCTTTGACAAATCAAACTCTGCTTTTCCAAGGCTAGCAGCAGAGGTAGAGTGTGAAGAGGCGTGGCTGGACCCCACAGTCAGTCCCACTCACCCTGGAGCTCTCTAGCTCATCACCAGGGGCACCTCTCTACTGGTCTGTCCTCTAGGAGGCGCTGGTTCCCCACAATGAACACCACAATCCCCACAGAGCAGAGATGGGCTGAGCTGGCTTTTAAGACTCAGGGATGCAAAAGGGGGAGGAGACACGGAAGGCTGTGTAAACCCTTGGCCTAAACTCTGGCAGTGAGTCCCACATAACACTGGCTCCCTGGACTCCGGGCTTGAACACCTGATCACATCAAAAGATCAAAAAGAGCAAGACACAAGGTAACTGCCTACCCTGGGGCAAGTCTCACCCTCCTGCCTGCTTTTTCCTGCTGGAGGACATGGCCCTTTCTCCCATGCTATCCACGAGGGTAGATGTTGGGAGCCTCAGATCCGTTCAAGAGATGCCATGCTAGGGTGACCATTGCTTTACAAATGACTCTCAGGACCCCAGCCCTGGCAGACAGCAGTAAGACCCAGTGCCCTCAATGGTGCTAAATTCTGTCCCTTTGGGGATTGTTCTAGATTGTCCTAATTCAGGCACACCTAGAGACTGACTTCTTTAGGTTCTACTGCATTTCTTTCAGAGACTGGCCCAGCTTTGGACAAGTCCAGTTGCTTCTCTGGACCTCAGTTTCCAGATCTGCTAAATGGAGGCATTGAATTAAACAGTGTTGAGAGCCTGCAACCCCAAATGCTGTTGAGGATGCTCACAGAGGCCTCTTTGTATTTTGTGGGAGGGCCAAGGGGTGACCTCTGACTTCTGAGGTCACTCCAAAGCTTATAGTGCAAAAGCTCTTCACTCTTGTTATACAAGAGCCCAGAACTGTAAAAGCCTCTTAAGTTTACATATCTAAGACTCAGTGATTTGGGGTCATTTATCCAAAACCAGGGTATAATGTGAGTATAATATTTAGGCACAGATACTATTGGATGCTTTCTGCAGTTGTGAAAAAAATTTTTTTTTTTACGTTTTTCAGGAAATCAGTGGCTCACAAACCTGGCTGAGCATCAGAATCAGAGGATGGGGAAGGGGAGGGAGCTTTTTTAATATGACAGATTCCTGAACTGGCATCTCCAAGGGCGGGGCTGGGCAATCTATATTTTGAATCAGCTCTCCCGTGGGATTTGGGTACATCTGGGTTACACTGAGGGAAGGTGTGAGGGTTCCACTGAAGCCCAAGATCCTAGTGACCCCTGTCCAGGCCCTCCCGAGGTGATTGTCTTCCTGTGTTTTGTTTTCTATCTTGCTGAAAAGAATTGAGAGTTCCTAGAACCAAGATGATGATGATGATGATAGTCATAATTGCGGCTCACATAGTACAGGAAGAGGGCTGGTTTTGTTAGTTCTAGCGTGATTACAAGAGCTGTGCCTTTCCCCCTAAGTCTGGAAAGCTCCGCGACCACATCCCATGGCGACCAGTACCATCCCTACAATTCCAAGATTCTACAGTTTTAATATTCTTCAAGTTTCCATAATTCTATACGTTGAGAATCAAGGTGCTAATGAGGTGCCCATAAGGCGTATCTGACTACTCGTGTTTCATGTGGTCTGCATGATGTCTTAAATTTGAAAGCAATAATTAAAACTGAGGCATTTGACAGAAATCCAGATTTCTCGATTCTCTTGAAAAATGAGGTGTGTAACACGAGTCCCACTCACATAGCAAACGCCAGGGAAGCTGCGGACAGGGCACCTCCTTAGAAGGGACATGGTGCACTATTCACCACTGTCTCCACCACTCCCCATTGTCCCCCTCACCCAGACACAGAGGGTCCGTAGCCATCTAGCATCTCATACCCAGTTCAGCACCTTGTTTGTGTACTCCCCTGGCCTCTGTAGGTATCTGGGTTGAGACTCTGGTCTAAGCTCACCTGACACTTCATTCACCTGTATGTCTGAGATACCATGATTCTCTAATTCCATTCCCCGGCGTTTGAAGAATTCACCTTGTCTTGAAGTCCACTGTATCTCCGCTGGGGGCTGATCTAGTCATCTGCAAGCTGTGCCCTGACTCCTAGGTAGCTGAGCCTTGTCACAGAGACCCGCTCCTCTGGAAGTGAGGCAGGCAGAGGTGCTCTGCTGAGGCGATTGCTGAGAAGTGGGGAAGGGGAGGAAGCGAGAGGGAGGCCCCCAGGTGCAACTCCTCCGCCCCTTCCCGTCCCCGCCTACAGTGTGGTCCCGGAACAGCAAGCCTGTGCACACCACCATCCTGAACCCCCACATCCACCTGATGGGTGACGAGTCGGCCTGCATCGCCTACATCCGCATCACGCAGTACCTGGATGCCAGCGGCATCCCCCGCACGGCCCAGTCGGAAGAGACCCGCGTCTGGCACCGCCGGGACGGCAAATGGCAGATTGTCCACTTCCACAGATCCGGGGCGCCTTCTGTCCTGCCGCAGTAAGAGCCCCTCCTTCCAACAATCTAAAAGGACGAGGTGGTGTCGGTCTGGAGGTGGTACCCGCTGGGGAACCCGGCTGCTGGTTGGGCCCTGAGGCGGGGGTGGGGAGACCACTGGGAGGAGACCAGGCCTGTGGGTCCCAGGGGGTGGGGGGAGGAGCCGCAGGTGGGACCCACAGCAGGCAACTTGAACCCCATCCAAGGAGGTGGGCATGGTGCCCTGAGAAGAACCTACGTTACCCACCACGTCAACCGTGTCTTGCAGCTGAAGGACCAGGCTGGAGGCGCTGTTTCGCAGAGATCCACTCTTTGTCCATGGAATGTGGCTGCTGGTTCTCCCACTTGGATTTTGCTGGAATTCCCCCAATCACATCATCCCATCACCACCACTATCGCCGTCACCTTCATACCTGTGTCAAGAAAACCTGTCCGTTCGCAAAAGCCATCACGACTTCAGAGCAAATGGCCACATCTTCCCATCTCCACCTGTCACTCTTGCTCTATGTCCCCTGCTGGGGTGGGGCTTCCTCAGGCCCAGGTGCCCTGGGTGTTGGCCCCAAGGACCCCCCTCCCAGCTGTCATTAGCCGGGTCTTGCCTTGGCCGGAGGCCACCGTCCCAGCTGTGTGTTCACCCAGGGCCTGGGGAGGAGGGGCAGAGCCAGGAGGAATGTGGCACCCGCCAGAACCCCCTCCTTGATCTCCCCTCTTCTGGGGTTCTTGGGGAAGGGCAGAACACCCAGCCCCCTGCACCAACCTCCCCCGTGGGAGAAGGCAAAAGCGGAGCAAGATGTCAGGAGCCTCCTGCCTCAAACTGCCTTCCTAACTCTTCTCCCATCCTGTCCTGCCCTCTTGTTCTCCAGCCGACCCTCCTCCCTCAGTGTGGGGGGCTCGATCCTCTCAGGGTGCCCCCACTTCTTCCTTTCTTCCTTCTGCTGATGTTTACTTCCAACACTAGCTGCCCATTCCACCCATCCATCAGGCCTGGAGAATTCCAGCTTCATCATCCGAAGGAGAGAATCTGATTGCTTTTTGAGGGCAAAAGAAAATAACCTTTAGGTATCACTTCTACTTGGACCGCATGCCTTTTTATAGCCAAACTTCTGTGTGTTTCGTAAATGGATTTCGCGTTAATGGATATTTATGTAATAACTAGACCTCTCAAATTATTGTGAGAAGGTTTGGGTTGGGAAGGGAGGTGGGAAGAGGGGTGAGGGGTAGTTTTTTTGTTTTTCTTTTCCTGTTCTAGGTCTTTTTTTTTTTTTCATCTCTGAGATGGACTTTGTCACTTGTGGGTTATCTGGGGCTGAGGTGGACTCAGCCTAACGGGGAAGGATCTCTGACATTTCAGTCCCCAGGTTCCCTTGGGGACTGGAGAAGCATCAGATGTTAGTACTGATGAAGAAATACCAAATCCGGGCAGAGAGAGTGGGGGAGGTTGTCAGGGTGGCAGTATCTGGACTTTATCTTGCTTGCCTCCCAAACTGAGGTCCTTTCTACCATGCTGCCCAGGATTCCATTACATCTGTGCACCACCCTCAGCACCACCCCCATCCATCCATCTCTGGGGGTTCACGAGCATGTGTCTTCATGCGGGTCCAAAAAGAACACTGGGAGTTCTCTTCACACCTCCTCCTGCGGCTGTGGTTTGCATCTCTCTTTTCCTTTCTCTTTCCTTCTTCCCTTGGGATTAACTCTGATGTGGAATGCCTTGGCACATCCACCTGGATCTACTGTCTGCACTGTTTTCTTTGCATGACTTTATATGCAGTAAGTATGTTGAAACAAAAAAAAAAAAAAGAAGAAGAAATAACACTCAGCAAAACCAATCTACATGTTTTGGACAAAAAAAGAAATAGAGGTTGTATTCTCAGTGTCCGACTCGGAATTATGTTGCTGCCTCTCTGTGCTTTTGGCCTCTGTGTGGCCGTGTTTTGCCAGCATGAGATACTGTCCCCTCTGGAGGATTTTAGGGGAGGAAGAGCCACATCTCCAAAGATTTGGAGGAATGTCTGATCCCTCCAAACCTCTGGGGTATCCTGGGTGTTGAGTGGAGCAGGACTGATGGGATGTGACCCAGTACTTCCTGAGTTTTCTGATCATGAGCTGTCTGCTGGGCCCATTCTCTTGCACTCTTGCCCCCGGGACAGGTGAGGCAGGCTGGGCAGGGGCCGCAGGCCAGGAGAGAGTCTACTCAGCCCTCTTGGTCTCCAAACTGGTTGATCACTGGCCTCTCTCCTTGGCAGAGGCCCTGCTGCCGAGGCCCAGGGCAGGCAGTTGGTCTGTCCCAGGTCCAGAGGGCTTCTTAGTAAGGCCCAGTGATCCCAGCGTCCCAGCAGTAAAACTGCCTGCCTCCCTTGTGAGCTGCCAGCTCCCACAGCTGTCCCCAAACCAAAGGTGAGGGATTGCTGCCATTACCAAGGCAAAGTCTGGTCCTTTCTTCAGCCTCAGTTTCCCCCTCCATTAAAAGGGTTAAACATTGCTGCCCAGCCTATGTTACAGGGCTGAAGGGGGATCAGACAGAACACTGGGGTGGAGACTGAACACTGAATACACCCATGAGAATCAACCGGGTGAGTCACTGGCTGGATCCCTGTCCTTTCCTGGGCCGGCCAGTCCCCCTGCTCTCCCCCAGCTGCCCCTCAGCTCCCTCTTTGTGCCTGTCCTCTGCTAATCAGTGGAGGACTGCGGGGGAAAGAGCCACGTTTGGGGTTCCTAGGATTTCCTTCCCAGCTCTGACCAGACTTGCTGTGTGACCTTGGGAAAGTCCTTTCCCGGCTCACCCCTCAGTTCCCCACCAGAGGGAGCTGGGCTGGAGGACACCAGCATCTTGCCTTTTGTCTGCTGACACGCCCCCTGTCCACTCTGACCCTCTCTGGATGCCAGAGAAGTGGAGGCTGGTCCCTACCTCAAGTTGAGATGGCTCCACTGCGAAGGCCACGCCCGTGGGTGTGCAGCCAGCTGGTGTGGACCACAGGGCACGGCGTGATCCTGAGACAGCAGGCAGGGAGACTGGCAGACAAAGTGGCCCAGAGCCCAATACCACCAGACAGTCAAACATCCTGTAGATGCAAAAAAATCCAGACCTAAGACAAGTCCTAGGCTCCAGCATGCAAACACATTCATGGGAAAGCATTCTCCCGTGTGTGTGCCCAGCAAGCGCTGATCCTGACCCCTGGCCTCCTGTCTCCCTTCAAGGGGAGACCCTTTAGGGGATGTATTTGCCAGACCCCCCGTGCTGGTATTTTTGTTACTATTTGTTTGGGGGTTTGTTTCAGTTCTTTCTTTTTTAAAATATGTGGCTGTGAACTTGAATGACCACTGCTCAAACTTTCTGCTATTGTGGGGTTGGGGGGAAGAAGGGGTGTCTGTTTTATTCTTGGTGTTTTAGTGCAATAAATAGCTACCAACTTCTGTGCACTTGCTGTCTCTCTGTCTTGGGCAAGCAGAGCACTGGGGGAGTATGTCTGTTTCCTGTTCTAGTTCCTCTCGGTTGCAAAATAAAGACCCAGGTCTTTATTCTGATTGGTCTAACTTGGTCACAAGCTCAAGGTTGAGCCAATCATTATGGGATTATGCCTGGACCTTTGTGTCCTAGCCTTAGAGCCAGGGATGGGGCTGGGGTGCCCTTAACAAGAGCAATGAGTTGCCACCAGTGGCCAATAGAAAGTCTCCCTCAGGGACCTGGGGCAAGGCTCTCCTCTGGGCCTTGGTTTCCTTGTACAGTGAAGAAGCTGCTCCAGAAGTCCCTTCCTACCCAATATTTTACCTCTACCCAACCTCACAGACAAGGCCCCAGGCCCCAGAGGCCTTGAGGGGGGAGGGAGGGGAAGGGTCTCTTTACCCACAGACTATATGTGAACATAGAGTCTAGGGGCTGTCTAGTCTAGAACCTAGAGCCCTTGGGGCTGGAGAAAGGAGTGGAGGAAAGGCTCCATTGGGGGAAGGGAGGCCACTACCACATTAGAGGCTAGTTGGTTCCCCGACCCCAAGTTGGTCAAGCTGACCCAGGGTGGTGATACAGAGGTTTTGGCCCCCTCAGGCTATGACAGGGTGACCAACCATTCATTGCTGACTTGAATTTTCAGTACAAAACCCAACAGTCTCATGCAAAACAGATGAGTTGCTCACTGTAAGTCATGCCCCCACCTAAGAGATGTAACTTGAAAAAAAAAGCACAATGTGAGAGTTGCAAGGTAAAGTTTATTTGGCAGCAAAATGAAGACTATCCAAGGAGACAACATTTCAGATAGCTCTGAGAAACTGCTCCAAAGTAGTAGAGGGGGAAATCAGTATATACATGATTCTGGTGAAGGGGGGGAGTACATGCAATCAAGCACGTATTTTTTGCAGAAGGTTTCTGCTAGTCACGAGGAGCAGTTGTCACTGTGAAGGATTTTGGTGCTTTTCTAGACAAGAGGAAATACAAGAATCGGGCTCATAAAATCAGCACCTAAAAATATCTCACAATCTGAAGACCTGTTTTGCCAGTTTTTCCCAGAGCACAGAATTCCTAATTTCTGCTCTCCACCCTGAACTCCTTTCAAGGAGTATTAAGAATCAGCAGCTGCAGCAGCACATGATTTAATCCTTGTAGAGCTAGATCGCAAGTGCTGATGGCAAGGGCCAGTTTGTATTTGATGAAAGCCTGATTCCACAGGGCCGGGGGGCGGGGGTGGGGGGATGACTTCTAGAGCCTACGGTCCTCTCTAGACCATGCTGTAGGTTCCTGGGCTTCAGAATTCCCGCACCAGCCGCTTTCTGGGTCTATCCTGGCTGCTGGCATGTGAGATGGCCAGAGGGCATTTCTACAGGGCATATGCGAGGAGCTTGGCAGTAAGGCTGAAAAGGGCAAGGGGGTGTGAAGCAGAGGGATCTAGGCCCTTCATTTGCACTCTTGTCTTGGAGCCTGGCATGTCAGCGCCAGGACAGCTTGAACCTGAGCCTTCAGGTGCCCGGAATCTCCCTCCTGGGCTACAGAAAGGACTTGAGAACTTGAGCTGCCAT